ACTCAGGAGGCTGAGGCAGCAGAATTGCCTGAACCCAGGAGGTGGAGGTTGCGGTGAGCCGAGATCGCGCCATTGCACTCCAGCCTGGGTAACAAGAGCGAAAACTCTGAGTCAAAAAAAAAAATCACAGAGGGATAAAATGTGCACCTCACTGGATTTCATCCCATTCCCTTTATTCCTCACCTTACCTCCAAATTGTCCAGGCTGGAGTGCAGCAGCGTGAGCTCGGCTCACTGCAACCTCCACCTCACAGGTTCAGGTGATTTTCCTGCCTCACCCTCCCGAGTAGCCAGGATTACAGGCACCTGCCCAGCACTTGAGGTGAGGAGTTAGCCATGCCTGGCTCATTTTTCTGTGTATTTTTAGTAGCAACGGGGTTGCATCATGTTGGCCAGGCTGGTCTCAAACTCCTGACCTCAGGTGATCTGTCCACCTTGGCCTCCCAAAGTGCTGGGGTTACAGGTGTGAGCCACCATACCCAGCCTACATTTTTTTTTTTTTTTTTAGACAGAGTCTTGCTGTGTTTCGTGGCTAGAGTGCATTGGCGAACCTCCAACTCCCTGGTTCAGGCAATTCTCCTGCTTTAGACTCCCGAGTAGCTGGGATTACAGGCTCATGCCACCACACCCAGCTAATTTTTTTATTTTCAGTAGAGACGGGGTTTCACCTTGTTAGCCAGGATGGTCTCTATCTCCTGACCTTGTGATCCGCCCACCCTGGCCTCCCAAAGTGCTGGGATTACAGGCGTGAGCCACGGCACCTGGCCATCGACATCTTTTTTACAGTGTTCCCCGTGGGTGTCTGAGCTAACTTATCCAGCTTGCTGTGGGAGGCACTTTTTGCAGTCTTTGCTGTTACAGGCAATGCCTACCGCATAGGCATGGTTCTCAGCTTTGCAGAAGTGCCCAGACCTACAGATGAGGAGCAGGCAGGAGAATGAAAACCACCTCAGATGTCGTCTCCCAGTAGGGGTCCAGGTCCTCGGGCTGTGAAGGTGTTTGCCAGGCAGTGTCCAGGGCTGTTACTTGGCAGCCTGGCCTGAGCTACTGAGAGGTCTGTGTCCCCAGCTGTCACTCATTTGGAATTTTTTCCATTTGATGGGTGAGAAATGGTATCTCAGTGTGGTTTTAATTTCTGTTGTGGTTTTATGGGAAGAATCAGCCCCGTGTGTGTCTGTCCCTGAGCATCCTACCTTCCTATCCTCTTGGCTGACTTTCTCTTGGGTTATTGGCCTTGCTCAATTTGTGGGAACTTTTCACATGCTGGCGAGATTGAATTGCAAATACTCTTGCCTAGCTTGTCATTTATCTTTTGACTTTGCTTAGGTTGTTTATTTTTCTTGCAGTCCTGAGTTTGCTTGTTTGGATGCAATTGAAAATATGTCTTTTGGGCCAGGCACAGTGGCTCACACCTATAATCCCAGCACTTTGGGAGGCTGAGGTGGGTGAGTCATCTGCGGTTGGGAGTTCAAGACCAGCCTGACCAACATGGTGTACTAAAAATACAAAAAACTTAGCTGGGTGTGGTGGCGGATGCCTGTAATCCCAGCTACTCAGAAAGCTGAGGCAGGAGAATCGCCAGAACCCAGGAGGCAGAGGTTGCAATGAGCTAAGGTGCTGCCACTGCACTGCAGCCTGAGCAACAAGAGTGAAACTCTGTCTCAAAAAAAAAAAAGAAAGGAAATATGTCTTCTGTGTGGCTTCTGGAATTTAGTTAAAAGCTCATGCTTGATTCTAATATTATTTTGGGTCTAGTATTTGCATTTAAATATTTACATTGGATCCGTATCTAGTGTACAGGGTGACGTTTGACTGACTACATCTTTTTCCAGATGGCTCGTCAGCTGCCTAATGCCATTTTTAGAAAAGTCTTTCTTTACCCTGTTGATGTAAGGGGGCTGCCTTGGTCAGACACTGAATGCCCGTCTGTACTTCGTCTGTCTCTGATGTCTCTGACTGTCTATGATTTTACTGTACCATGTTTTGTTTTTTGTTTTTCATTTATTTTTTTTAAAGACGGGGTTTCACCATATTGGTCAGGCTGGTCTCGAACTCCTAACCTCAGGTGATCCGCCTGCCTCAGCCTCCCAAAGTGCTGGGATTACAAACATGAGCCACCACGCCCAGCTTTGTACAACATGTTTTAAATTGAGGCCTGACAGCTGGGCATGATGGCTCATGTCTGTAATCCCAGCGCTTTGGGAGGCTGAGGCAGGTGGATCACCTGACGTCAGGAATTCAAGACCAGCCTGGTCAATATGGTAAAACCCTATCTCGACTAAAAGTACAAAAAACTAGCTGGGCATGGTGGTGGGTGCCTGTAATCCCAGCTACTTGGGAGGCTGAGGCAGGAGAACTGCTTGGACCTGGGAGGCGGAGGCAGAGGTTGCAGTGAGTCGAGTTCACACCATTGCACTCCAGCCTGGATGACAGAGTGAGACTCCGACTCAAAAAAAAAAAAAAAAAATTGAGGCCCAACAGGATTTTCATATCTGATGGAACAGTCTCCTTTTATGGCTCTTTTATAGAGTTTTTTACTCCTGTTTTTTCTTTTGCTTGTTGAGACGGTCTTGCTCTGTTGCCCAGGCTGGATTGCAGGGGCAGGATCTCAGCTCACTGCAGCCTCTGCCTTCCCAGCTTAAACTTCAGTCTTCCTAGTAGCTGGTACTGTAGGCGTGAACCACCAAGCTCAGCGAATTTTTCAGTTTTTTTTTGTGTGTAGAGTCTTGCTCTGTTGCCCAGGCTGGTCTCAACTCAGTCTCAAGCGACCTCCCGCCTTGGCCTCCCAAAGTGCTGGAATTACAGGCACCTGACTTCCTGCTGTTCTTGCTTGTTTAATTTTTCCATGTGAACTTGAGAATCGGGTGGTTTAGGGTCTCCACCAAAAATCGTATATCGTATATGTATGGTTTTTTAGTGTTTTTTTGTTTGATTGATTTTTTTTTTTTTTTTTTTTAGACAGAGTCTTGCTCTGTTGCCCAGGCTGGAGTGAGGTGGCATGATCTCGGCTCAGTGTAACCTCTGACTCCCAGGTTCAAGCAATTCTCATGCCTCAGCCTCCCTAGTGGCTGGGACTACAGGTGCCCACCATGACACCTGGCTAATTTTTTTGGTCTTTTAGTAGAGATGGGGTTTCACCATGTTGGCCAGGCTGGTCTCAAACTCCTGGCTTCAAGTGATCTGCCTGCCTTAGCCTTCCAGGAGTGCTGGGATTATAGGTGTGTACCATGACGCTCAGCCCATATATGCATGTTTAAATAATATACTAGTGTTAGTAGTCACAATAACAGCAACACCTGTGTGCCCAACACACAGCTAAAACAGTGTCACAGCACCTATTCCTTTGAACCTCTCCAGCCCCTCCTGGACCCTACCCAGAGTCATTTATTTACTGTTTATTCATTCAGCAAGCACTTTGTGAGCACCTCCTATGTGGCAGGCGCAGTTCTTGGTCCTGAGGACACAGCTGTGAACAAGACAGACCAAACTTTGTCCTCGTGGAAGCTGAACTCTAGCAGAGGAGAGAAGCAGTCAGTAAGCAAAGGATCGAGTGCCTCAGAAAGTGTGATGGAGGCTGGGTGCAATGGCTCACACCTGGAATCCCTTTGGAAGGTGGGCAGGTCATTTGAGCTCAGGAGTTTGAGATTAGTGTGGCCAATATTGCAAAACCCCGTTTCTACTAAAAATACAAAATTAGTCGGGCGTGGTCTCGCACACCTGTAATCTCAGCTACTCGGGAGGCTGAGGCAGGAGAATCGCTTGAACCTGGGAGATGGAGATTGCAGTGAGCCAAGATCACACCACTGCATTCCATTCTGGGCAACAGAGACTGTCTCAAAAAAAAAAAGTGCTGTGGAGAAAAATAAGAAGGGGTGGTGGGGAGCCCTGGCCATGAAGGTTTTTGAGAAAGATTTGTATGGGGGAGGGAGCAGCCCTGCTTCTTAACCCTTGTGGACACCTGCATGCGGCTCTAGTCCTGCGTGTGTCCTGCCGGACAGGTCCCGTACAGCCACCCCTCAGTTCATGTTTCCATCCCTTCCAACTACCAGCAGCTTCCAGCTTGTGATTACCCACAGGGTCACAGGGGACCCTCTGCCCCTCCTAGATGCTGCCATACAGGCTGTTCTTGAGGAGACATTGCCCAGGAAGGAACTGCTGGGTGTTCAGTCTGCAGGTGGGGCTGAGTTGTTGGCCACCATCGGGATGGGGGCAGAGAACCAAATCTGCACCCACTGCTGAAGCTGGGCACCACCCAGGCCTCGAAATTCTGCTCATTTCTTTTTTCTTTTAAAAAAAATTTTTTTTTGAGACAGAGTCTCACTCTGTCACCCAGGCTGGAGTGCAGTGGTGCAATTTCAGCTCACTGCAACCTCTGCCTCTTGGGTTCAAACAATTCCCTACCTCAGCCTCTGGAGTAGCTGAGATTACAGGCACCCACCACCACACCTGGCTAATTTTTGTGTTTTTAGTAGAGACAGGGTTTCACCATCTTGACCAGGCTGGTCTTGAACTCCTGATCTTGTGATCCACCCGCCTCGGCCTCCCAAAGTGCTGGGATTACAGGCATGAGCCACCACGTCCCACAGCCTCACGTTTCCTTTTTCATTCAGTGTCTTCTCAACAAATGATGACACGATTGTTACTTATTTGCTTCTTCCTAGTGATTAAAGGAATGAATGAGTGTGTCAGGTTTCTCAGAGATGAGAGTGCCACCGTCCACACTGCTGTTAGCCCTAAGCTCCTGCCCTCATTCTGCACCGGCCCTTTGGGGTGGCCAGTGAGGGCCCATGTGGGCTGACAGGTCGGTGGCCAGGTGGCCATGGTCGAGCCCTGCTCCAGCTAGATACTAGTATGGGGAGTCCTGGGCAGCTGAAGACATCGGGGGTAGGTGGGAGAAATGGGCCCTGGCTGGAAAGGCCTGGGGGCCCTCAGCAAAGTCGTGAGCGTCCCTGACCCTGATGGACAGCACTGAGGCCACTGTCTTTGTGCTTCTGCCTCCAGGTCTGGTGCTGAACAGAGACAGGAGGATCACCTTGGTGAGTGCCGCTGGCTCTGGGTCCCCCGCCACAGTTTGCCTGTTAGCATCTTTGTTGTTGTTGAAAATTACAGGCTGGGCCAGGTGGCGCACGCCTGTAATCCCAGCACCTTGGGAGGCTGAGGTGGGTGGATCACCTGAGGTCAGGAGTTTAAGACTAGCCTGGCCAACATGGTGAAACCCTGTCTCTGCTAAAAAAAAACACACACACATACAATTAGCTAGGTGTGGTGGCACGTGCCTATAATCCCAGCTACTCTGGGCAGAGGCTGAGGCAGGAGAATCAGTTGAACGGGAGGCGGAGGTTACAGTGAGCTGAGATCACACTACTGCACTGCAGCCTGGGCGACAGAGCTAGACTCCATCTCAAAAAAAAAAAAATTACATAGATTACATAATTGTCAGTTTAACTATTTGTAAGTGTGCACTTCAGTGGCATTAAATACAGTTGATGGAGGTGAGTAGGGGAGGGAGACATTGTAGGCACTGGCTGCCACCCAGGTAAAAGCTCAGAGTCAGTGTGGTGCACCTGTTGAGAGGGGGATTCCTGATAGAGGCTGTGAGATTAAAGAGGGAGGGGCAGGATGAGAAAAGTTCTTCAAAACCAGTGTCCCATCTGGAGGCCTGGAAACTTTGTATTAATGGAAACTTGGCCATCTCTGCCAAGAGGCTATGTGACCTTGGGCAAGGTGCTTACCCTCTCCGAGCCTTGGTTGTCTCCGTGCAAAAAGAAAGTGTTTTCATTCATTCAGCTGGTTCATCAGCAACTTGACCAGGGGAGCCAAGCCCTGGGCCTGACTTTGAAAGGTGGTTGTTGAGACTACCTAAGGTCATGTGTGTTGAGTGGCCTTGCACAGTGCTGTCACTTCAGGTGCTCATGGCTTATCCTATTTTGTGATTGTTCAAAAGTGGTAGAACACTGTACACATATAAGACACTGTCATTAGAGGTGAGGAAGCTATAACTGCAAGGAGACTGCTGAGAGCTGCTGCCCGGGCCCAGGCCTAGAGAAGAGGCTTGGACCAGGGCATCAGCCAAGGGTCCAGGAATGTTAATGTGTTTATTGATCCATGTGGAATTTGTTTTTGAGCATGGTGTGAGGTAGGGATTCATTTTCTTTTTTTTTTTTTTTTTTACCACTGCACCCAGTCCCATGTATACTTTTTTTTTTTTTTTAAGGGGAAAAAAAGAAAAAGAGGGAAAAAGGAATATTACTTCATTCCTAGAATGGGTTTCAATAATGGCCGATCAATATTTTGAGTGTTTAAAGTGGTTAATGCATGTTTTATGTGTTGAAAATGGAGAACTCTATTGTGTTTATTTGTTCTGGCTCTGAGTTCAAGTCCTGGATATCGTTATCAATATGTTGTCTCGTTGAATCTAAATCTCATTATGTGTCTTATGTATCTGGGTGTTAAGATCTCTTATTGTTGCATTAATCCTTTTACCCTTGCATCCTTGTAGCTTTGAAATCTATTTTATTAAGTGTGAGAATTGCAACTCCTGCTTTTTATTTATTTATTTTTGCTCTCCATTTGGTTGGTAAGTTTTTTTCCATCCCCTTGTTTTGAGTCTTTGTATATCTTTAGATATATCGTTAGATTTTGTGGATAATGTATATTTTGTGTGTTTAAAATGGAGAGCTCTATTGAGTTTATTTGTTCTGGATCTTAGTTCCAGTCTTGAATATCGTTATCAATTTTCTGTCTCGTTGAATCTAAATCTCATTATGGGTCTTATGTATCTGGGTGTTAAGATCTCTTATTATTACATTAATCCTTTTATCCTTGTAGCTTTGAAATCTATTTCGTCAAATGTGAAAATTGTAACTCCTGCTTTTTATTTATTTATTTTTGCTCTCCATTTGGTTGGTACGTTTTTTTTTTCCAACCCTTTATTTTGAGTCTATGTATATCTTTGGATATACCGTTAGATTTTGTCTGTATCTTTTGATTGGGAGATTTGGTCGATTTAAATTTAGGGTTGCTGCCGTTTGATATTAACTGGCTATTTTGTCCTTTTGTTGATAAAAATTCTTCTTTATGTTAATGCTCTTTACTTTTTGGTGTATTTTTAGAAAGGGTCATACTGGTTGTTCCTTTCTGTGTATAGTGCTTCTTTTAGAAGTTCTTGTAAAGCAGGCCTGGTGGTAATAAAATCTCTGAGTACTTGCTTGTTCCTAAAAAATTTTATTTTTCCTTCAAATGTAAAGCTTAAATTGGCAGGATATGAAATTCTGGGCTGAAAGTTCTGTTGATTAAGTATATTGAATATTGGCCCCCACTCTCTTCTAGCTTGTAGGGTTTCCGTTGAGAGATCTGCTGTAAGCCTAATAGGCTTACCTTTATGGGTAACTTGATCTTTCTCTCTGGCTGCCCTTAATATTTTCTCCTTCGTTTCGATCTTGGTGAATCTAACGATTATGTGCCTTGGGGTTGGTCTTCTTGAGGAATATCTTTGTGGTGTTCTCTGTATTGCCTGGGGTTGAATAGTGTCCTGCTTTGCTAAATTAGGAAAATTTTCCTGGATAATGTCCTGGAGAGTATTTTCCAGCTTGAATTCATTCTCTCCGTCACATTCAGGTACACCAATCAAGCGTATATTAGGTCTTTTCACATAGTCCCATATTGCTTGGAGACTTTGCTCATTCCTTTTTATCCTTTTTTCTCTATTCTTGTCTTGTTGTTTTGTTTCATTAAGTTGATCTTCGACCTCTGATACCCTTTCTTCTGCTTGATCCATTCGGCTGTTTAAGCTTGTACATATTTCACTAAGTTCTCGTGTTGTATTTTTCAGCTCCATAAGTTCATTTGTATTCCTCTCTATATTGTCTATTCTTTTCAACATTTCATCAAACCTTTTTTCCAAGTTCTTAGTTTCTTTACATTGGGTTAGAACAAGTTCCTTTAACTCCCAGAAGTTTCTTATCATCCACCTTTTAAAGCCTACTTCAGATAATGGAACACAGTCCTTTTCCATCAGGGCTTGTTCCGTTACTGATGAGTCCCTTTCCATCAGGGCTTGTTCGGTTGCTGATGAGTCCTTTTCCATCAGGGCTTGTTCCGTTGCTGATGGGTTCTGATTTTGAGTATACTCGGCCTTCTTAGGCTGTTTTTTCCCCTTCATTGTAGATGAACCGCCTTTCTAATTAGTTTTCTGAGTCGACGTCCGACTTATTGATTCCCAGTGTTGGGATCCGAGCAACCCGCTGTGGCAGCCTAAATAGCAGCGGTAAGACTGATGGTGCTCTTCTGCCCGGGAATCTCTGGTCTGGCTTCCCTCTTGAGTCCGCAACAAGCCGCTCTGACTTCCCGGAGCTCCAAACTCCGGTCAGTAGGGGAAGCAGTCCCGTTGGCTCTGCATGAAGGGCTGCTGCGCCGAGACGCCGGCAAAACCGCTGCGGCGGCCACAAGAGTCGCGCTGGCGACCCGTGGGGCTCCTCCACTGGGAATCAGCTGATCGGTGAGTGACGAAAATTCGTCTAAAAGTGTGGCGTCGTCTCGTTCTCTGGGCTTTCACTGGGAGCTACAATCCTGAGCTGTTAGTGGTCGGCCATCTTGGATCGATCTTAGGGATTCATTTTCTTTGTTCCCTTTTTTCTATCATGTTTGAAAACTTTTCATTACTTTTATTATTTTTGTTATTATTTGATATGGAGTCTTGCTGTTGTCACCCAGGCTGGAGTGCAATGGCATGATCTCGGCTCACTGCAGCCTTCACCTCCCAGGTTCAAGTGATTCTCCTGCCTCAGCCTCCCAAGTAGCTGGGATTACAGGCACTCACCACTACGTCTGCCTAATTGTTGTATTTTTAGTAGAGATGGGGTTTTGCCATGTTGGCCAGGCTGGTCTTGAATTCCTGACCTCAGGTGATCCGCCAGCCTCAGCCTCCCAAAGTGCTGGGATTACAGATGTAAAATACACTGCATCCAGTCTATTTTAATTTTAGAGACAGGATCTCTGTCACCCAGGCTGGAGTGCCACGGCATAGTCATGGCTCACACAGCCTCAAACTCCTGGGCTGAAGTGATCTTCCCACCTCAGCCTCCCGAGTAGCCAGGACTACAGGTGTGTGCCACCACACCTAGCTAGAATTTTTACTTCTGTAGAGACAGGGTCTTGCCACATTGCCCAGGAGGGTCTCAAATGCCTGGGCTCAAGCTATCCTCCCACCTTGGTTTCCCAAAGTGTTGGGATTACAGGCGCCCAGCCATTGTAATTGTTTTTCTAGATGAACAGCTAGTTATTCCAATACCAGTTTTTGGGTGGGCCTCCCTACCCAGAGAGGCTTTTTTATAATTTTTATTTTTTTGAGATGGTATCTCACTGTGTTGCTCAGGCTGGAGTGCAGTGGCGTGATCTTGGCTCACTGCAACCTCTGCCTCCTGGGTTCAAGCAATTCTCCTGCCTTACCCTCCCAAGTAGCTGGGATTACAGGCATGTACCACCACACCTGGCTAATTTTTTGTATTTTTAGTAGAGACAGGGTTTCACCATGTTGGGCAGGCTGGTCTCGAACTTCTGCCCTCAGGTGATCTAAAAGTTTTTCTTTTTGTAAAGGAACATTTAGGAAATTTTTGTATCATTCTAGTGCAGCAGCCACACTTATCTTCTCTGTACTGTTCCAATTTGGCAGTATATATGCTGCCAAAGCAAAGCATCCAGATTCTATTTATTCATTATGTTTTTCTTTTTCTTTGAGACAGAGTCTTACTCTGTCATCCAGGCTGAGTGCAGTAGCCCAATCTCAGCTCACTTCAACCTCTGCCTCCTGGGTTCAAGCAATTCTTCTGTCAGCCTCCCAAGTAGCTGGGATTACAGGCATGTGCCACCACGCTTGGCTAATTTTTTGTATTTTTAGCAGACAGGGTTTCACCACATTTGCCAGGCTGGTCTTGAACTCCTGACCTCAGGTGATCTGCCCACCTTGCCCTCCCGAAGTGCTAGGATTACAGGTGTGAACCACTGTGCCCAGCCTAATTTTTTAATTTTTAGTAGAGACAGGATTGAGTTTGCCTGTTCACCTTGTGCCTAGGAAGCCCCTCTCGTGTGCAGGCCTGAAAGGCTTGGTCACACCCTGCTGTAAGATGTGGCAGCTGACATGTTGAGAGCACATGGATCTTGGTGACAGTATGGGAACCCGTTTTGGGGAAGGCACCTGAGGTCATTTTAGTCTGCGAAGCAGAAAATAGCTTGAGGGCCAGGGTAGAACTAGGACAGCCAGGGTAGAACAAGGGCAGTGAGTTTTCACAGGTGTGTGTGCGCGCGTATGTGTTCACAGGAATTTTAGGTTCACGATGGTGTGGGAAGGGAGTATTGGGTGTGATTTTATGGAGCCAGTCCTTACAGCAGGATTCCTGGAATTAATCTACTCAGCACACATTTATGAAGCTTCTCCTCTGCTGCTGAGAATTAGGGATAGAGAAAATGCTGAGGGCTCCTGCCCTTAGAGCCCCCAGATCAGAGCAGCACAGTCCAGTGGAAGCAGAGCATGAGCCTGGTGGAACTTGACATGGTCTAGCAGCTGTAGTAAAACAGTGCCACACACAGTGGCTCACGCCTGTAATCCCAGCTCAGGGAGACAGAGGCGGGAGGAAAGCTTGAGCCCAGGAGTTGGAGACCTACCTGGGCAATACAGCGAGACCTGGTTCTCCACAAAAAGGAAAAAAAAAAAAGTGAAAAAGGAAACAGGCCCGATCAACCGTTCTCATATTTTTATTTAACATTTAAGATGTAGTTTCAGATGTAATCAACCTGAAACTTGATTGCATCATTTTGCATTCTAAGTTTCCCAAATCCAGCTTTGTGGCACACCTATAGCACATCTCACTCAAGCTGGCCACATCCCTGCCATGCAGATGTGAAATAGTCACGAGACAGGGCGGGCAGGACCACGGAGGAGGCTGGCAGGGGCCATCATGGAGTGCTAATCCTGCACTATGGTCCCAGCAGGTTTCTTCCTCCTGGCAATGCCTCACACTCTGCTTAGCACAGTCAAGGGCACCACCCTGGCTGGCAGGGGACAGTGTGCAGTGCATCCTATGGACTGGGAAAGGGGTGTGGAAGGGATACACTTCAGTCCTAAAACCCAGGCCCAGAAGTGGCCTAAATCACTTCTCTGCCTTTAATCACACAGCCATACCTGGTGGCAAAGGAGTATGGGAAATACAGTCAGGGTGGGTAGCCATGAGCCCAGGAAGAGGGGAGAATAGACTTGAAGAGGGCAGGTGTCTCTGGCCATGGGAGGCTAAAGAGTCTTCGACAAGGCAGTGATGTGTTGGGGTCCTGGGCTCGATCCTAGAGTGGATGGCTAAGGTGGCCTCGCTGGGGCTTAGCCACCCCAAGACAGGCCCATGAGTGCCTGCGCCCTGTGATGAGAGTTCACCGTGCTTCTGTCTCTGCAGCCAGAGCTCAGCTGTGACTTCATCAGCAGGGAGCTGTTTGCCCACTTCATCAGGAAGCTGCAGGCCCACGTCCTGCTCATCAAGTAAGACGACCAGGCGCCCTCCAGTCACCCCCAGAAGAGACATGGGTGCCAGGAATCTCCGGGAGGGAGCCCTGGCGTGTGGCTCCAAGTTCTCTGCATGGTGACCACACCACTGAGGCTGGAGATCTTTTTTGGGAAGCCCTCCTGGCAGCAGCGTCATGGACATAGAAAGTTTTGTCAAAGGAGGGGAGGGCTCAGGCAGCAGAGGATGGGCCAGGGCTGTGCCACGCCTTTCCACAGGTGTCAGCTGGGGGCATGCCCAGGTAAGCCTCTATAACCAGACCACAGAAGGCAGAGATGGGCAGACCTCAAGAAACACAAATGCAGGCCAGGCATGGTGGCTCAGGCCTGTAACCCCAGTACTATGGGAGGCCAAGGTGGGTGGATCACCTGAAGTCAGGAGTTCAAGACCAGCCTGGCCAACATGGTAAAACCCCATCTCTAATAAAAATACAAAAATGAGCCAGGTGTGGCGGTGAGCACCTGTAAGTCCAGCTACATGGGAGGCTGAGGCAGGAGAATTGCTTGAACTCGAGACAGAGGTAGCAGGGAGCTGAGATCACATTACTACACTCCAGCCTGAGTGACAGAGACTCCATCTCAAAGAATAAAATAACACAAATCCAAACCACAGCGAGAAACCACCTCACCACATTGGGATGGCTAGAACCAAATAGGTAACAGGTGGCGAGGATGTGGAGCAGTCAGAACCTTCACGCACTGCTGTGGGGCTGTGAACTGTTCTGGCAGCTTCTTGAGTTACTGAACAGTTACCATGTGACCTGCACTTCTCCTTGCATCCCTAAGAGAAATGCAAACATGTCCACACAACCTGAACACGAATGTTTGTAGCAGCATTCTGTAATAGACTAATGGTGGAGATGAAAACGCATTCAGTGGTGGCTCGTGCCTATAATTCCAGCACTTTGGGAGACTAAGGTGGGCAGATCACTTGAGCCCAGGAGTTTTGAGACCAGCCTGGGCAACATAGTAAAACCCCATCTCTACAAAAGATACAAAAAAATCTATTAGCTGGGAGCAGTGGCACATGCCTGTGGTCCCAACTACTCAGGAGGTTGTAGTGAGCTGTGACTGCACCACTGCATTCCAGCCTGGGTGAAAGACCAAGACCCTGTCTCCAAATAAAAAAGAAAATAGGTGGAGGACCCAATGTCCACCAGTGGATAAATAGGCAAGCAAAACGTGATCCACCCCACACCACAGACTCTTTTTGAGATGGACTCTCGCTGTGTTGCCTGGGTTAGAGTGCGGTGGCATGATCTTGGCTCACTGCAGCCTCCACCTCCTGGGTTGAAGCGATTGTCCTGTCTCAACCTCCCAAGTAGCCGGGACTACCAGCGCCCGCCACCATGTCCAGCTCATGTTTGTATTTTTAGTAGAGATGGGTTTTACCATGTTGGCCAGGCTGGTCTTGATATCCAGACCACATGACCCACCCACCTCGGCCTTCCAAAGTGCTGGGATTACAGGCATGAGCCACCATGCCTGACCCACCATAGACAATTTTTAAGCAGAAATGAAGCACCGACATGAGCTCCAGCATGGGTGGACCTTGGAAACTACACCAGGAAGTCAGACATAAATGTCTACATGTTGTAGGACTGCATTCATGTTAAAGTCCAAACAGCACCCTGCAGAGAAGAGCCAGTTCATGGTTGCTCAGGACAGGAAGCCTGTGGCGGCGGGGCAGGGAGGCCTGTGGGGTGTGTGAAAGCACAGAGGTTTGGGATTTCTTGGGGGTGATGAACATGTTCTGTAATTGTAATGACGGTCTCACAACCCTGAATGGGAGGGTGGTAAGACATGTAAATTCTCTCAGCCAAGTATGGACTCCAGAGCCTGTTGAGATCCCAGCTCTGCTATTCTGGGCTCTGACTGGCAGGTCCTGAACTCCGTGTGCCCCTGCAGGGTGCACCTGAAGCATTTGCTTGTGCCACCTGAGTATAAGCTGAGATTAACTGAGCCTCAAATCCAGTCTAGGGTTAGGGGACCCAGCTGTGGGAGTTGAGGCAGCCCAGGCTTTTGTTTCTCCTCAGAGGCCTGAATGCAGGGCAGGACAAGGACACTGCTGGGAGGCAGTTCTAAGATGAACCCCAATAACCCCAACTCTTCGCTTTCCAGAGCAGTCCACGGATATTATGATGTGAGAAGGGAGAATGACGCTGACAAGGAGCCCTTCTCATTCGTAATAGGCATGCTGAAATCCACCCTCAAAGAGGTAAGGTGTGGGGCTCAGGCAGCTGGTGTCTGTTATTTCACCCATTTCTTTTGCACTGGGAAAACCCCTGGTCTGACCCCAGGCCGAACAGGTGACCACCAGGAGCTATCAGGCATCACTCTCCACTGTGGTCAGTCCCCAGAGGCCTGGGCACAAATATAATCAGAATTTAGGAAACAAATCTTTTTAAAAAATTCTTTTTATAGCCCTTTCACTTAACAGAAACAAATCTCTTATAGTCCTCACGTACCCACCCCTCCTTCCTCAGGCCAGACACAATTCGGTGACCCAAATGCCAGACAGTCTCACATTTTTAATTTTTTTGAGAAACAGGGTCTCGTTCTGTCACTTAGGCTGGAGTGCGGTGGCTCAGTTGTAGCTCACTGCAGCCTCAAACTCCTGGGCTTATGATCCTCCCACCTCAGCGACCTGAGTAATGGACTACCAGGTGCCTGCCATCATCCCAGCTAGTAGCCCCACTTTTTGTTTCTTGGAGGCAGTGTTGATCTGTCACCAGCTTGGAGTGCAGTGGCATGATCTTAGCTCTCTGTAACCTCTGCCTCCCAAGTGCAAGTGATTCTCTTGCCACAGACTCCCAAATAGCTAGGATTACAGGCACCTGCCACCATAACCAGTTAATTTTTGTATTTTTTAGTAGGGATGGGATTTTAACATGATGGCCAGGCTGGTCTTGAATTTCTGACCTCAAGTGATCCACCTGCCTTGGCTTCCCAAAGTGTTGGCATTACAGATGTAAGCCACTGCACCCAGCCCCCAGGTTTTGTTTTTTTGTTTTTTTTTTTTTTTGAGATGGAGTCTTGCTGTTACCCAGGCTGGAGTGCACTGGCATGATTATGGCTCACTGCAGCCTCTGCCTCCCAGGTTCCAGCAATTCTCCTGCCTCAGACTCCTGGGTAGCTAGGATTATAGGCACATGCTACCATGCCTGGCTAATCTTTGTATTTTTTAGTGGAGATGGGGTTTTACCAGGTTGGCCATGAATTCCCGACCTGGTGATCTGCCCGCCCTGGCCTCCCAAAGTGCTGGTTTTACAAGTGGGAGCCACTATGCCCAGACTATCTCACATTTTATAGGCTCCCAAGCCACAGCAGCACACCTGACTGCTGCCTCCCTTTGCCCATCACACCAGTGGGCATGCTGGCTGTAGGTGGGGGTGGCTGTTGCCTAGGTTCTTCGGAGCACCTGGCGTTTCATGGTCATCTACCCATGAACACCTGACCCGGGGGCCTCTGCAGGTTTCTAGGCACTGTCACAAAGGGAAACCCACCTGTGGCTGGCCAGCTGCCAGGTCAGTGCCTAGGCAGGCAAGGCCTTCCAGTCGGGGTTTGAAGGCAGGAACAAGGCTGCAGGCTGCTCACACCCCCACCTCATTATTTTATCTCAAGCAGACCTCTGATAGTCACAGCAGCCCTGGTCATTGCCCCTCCCTGTCCCTGCTATGCAATTTCAAAAGTCAGCTGGCCTAGACCTCTGGGAGGCCTCAAAAACCCCAGGGCTTGGACAACCCTGGGGGTGCTGTGGACTGGTGGGGCTCAAGGAGCTGAATGTGGGGAAACTCACTGTGGGAGGCACAGGGAGCCAGAAGGCTGTGGGAGGGCCTAGTGCACCTTGGGAGCCTGTGGAGCTCCTGAGGCACCTCTGGTCACATCTCACCACACACCCCCTCTCCAGCGGTTCCAGTTTGTGGAAGTCCCGGGCACTCACTATGTCCACATGAACGAACCCCAGCAGGTGGCCAGTATCATCAGCTCCTTTTTACAGAGCAAACCCAGGCTCCCAAACCAGCTGTAGCTCTGAGCCTGGAATTATGAAGACCTCATGCTCCCGGACTCGGCACTGGGACTCTGAGTTCCCGAGCCCTGCAAGCAGGCCAGGCGTGGTGGGGAAAGGCTCACTGGTCTGGAAGCCTAGGATGGTAGCTTCAGGGGGAAGGGAGCAAGATTCCAACTTGAACATCCATGACCTCAAGAGGGAGACAGAGTCTGGGTTTGGAAGGCTGCCATCTCCTGGCTAATCATCAGCCAGCTGGAGGAAGCAAGGGTGGGGGATGGGGTAGGCCCACCTAGGCCTTTCCTTGTGGCCCCACTGAATGGAAAATACAAGATGCTGGCATTCTCACTGCTTTTGAGGCTGTTTTGCTGCCAGCAGGGGCTTTTCCATTGAGAAGGGGAGAAGGGTCCCTGAGAGGAAGGTATGGAGGCAGAAGGGGCAGATCCTCCTCTGGGTACTCCCAGGACTGCTGAAGCACAAGCCCTGAGGAGTGGCACGGTCCTTGACTCCCAGCTGTGTGGCCTCTGATGGGGGCTGTTGGACACGGTGGCCCTCAACCTGGGGCCCACCTTGGCCTCGAGTTCCTCCCGAGCCTGCATCTCCATCCTTCTGGTGTGGCTCTCCCAGCTTAGTAAGGTCGGAATTTGCGCTGGGCCCGAAGCAGCTCGATCCTCTGCTTGTCCTCCTCGAACTTCTTGCGCAGCTGTGCTAGATCTGGGGGTGAAAAGCAAGGGGCCGGGTCAGCATGCCCCAGGGGAAGCCAGATCGCTCATGTTCCACCCCTCCTCCCAGTTATTGTCCGGGTACGTCTTTCCCCCACCAACCCATCCCCCTTCCCAGCTCTGCTATGGAAGCAGAGTCTGGCTCCCTTAAACAAAACAACACAGCTGCAGGCCTAGTCCAAGGCCAAAGTGGGCTAGCCTGGAGATGAAGCCCCAGCGACCAAGCAAAGGCACCCGAACCTGCCCCTGCCCAAGGGGAAGAAAGGAGTCCGGACCACTCAGCCTGGAGGGACCCTGGGAATGGATAAAGGGACTCCACCCCTAGTGCTGGTAAATGCAGACAGCAACTCTGGTCACCAAGTGGCAGACGTGAGGGGGAAGCTGAGGGTCCACAGTGAGCATGGGCGGGAGCCAAGAGGGCCAATGAGTGACTGGGCAGGTGGCTCAGGGCATGCCACAGAGCCCATCCCCGTGCCCCAGCCAAGGCTAGGAGTACCCTCTCCCAGGCGCACAGGCAAGCTGTCCTGCAGACAGGGACACTAGGCAGTGGGGCAGAGGGCTCAGCTGCAGCACCAGGACTGGCCCACAGGTGCTCAACCATGGGAGGGTCCCGTGCAGGGCCACACCGTCTGCAGCACCCTCTCTGCACTCACAGTGGATGTCTAAGTGCCCTCTGCACTTGGACTCCTTGTTGGGTAGAGGCTGACAAGCGCCAGCACTAAGTGCACAGGGTCCCCACCCACTGAGTAAATGCAGCTGCCTCTGCTGGGTGATGGGGCGACCCAGCTGCCACACAGGGTGTGACCAGGCTGGGCCTCTTTCCACAGAGCCTGGTGGGCACCCTGTGCTTAGGGACACCCTCCCTCTGAAGTGCTAACCACAGGCCTCATCCACAGCTGGGGCCAAAGCCATGGGGCCTGAGGATGGGCTGGGGGCATGGCTTACGCTCCATCTTGCTCTCGCGGTGCTGCCAGGCATAGAAGTTAAGCAGCTCCTTTCGGGCACGCTTCCGTCTCTCTCTCTCCAACACCCGAAGGCTGGCTGCTTCCGTCCGGGGGAGCACAGGCCTCCGGCCGCGGCGGGTCACCTTCACCCAGCCCTCCTCATCAGGGACCCCCTCTTCCTCTTTGGCCTTAGTTTCTTCCTGCAGGGAAGGTGACCCTGTTGTCCGGCAGGCTCCTGGGCCCTCCTGCAGTCTCCAGCAGCATGCCCTCCTCCCAGAGTCAGAACTGTGCTGTACCCCTACAGGGGCAAGGCTGCTCGCCACCTCCGAGCACGGCGCTGGAGCTGAGGATGGCGGGGAGGGCACAGACCTGCCGGCGCTGCCTTTTCCTCCTCCACTACAGACCATGTGGAGACTAGATGTCACTCAGCCAGGCAGCCCAGGATCCAGCAGGGAAAAAGGGGAGCCTGGCATCTACAGAGTAGCCAGGGAGAGGCCACCACTGCCCTCCCGGGGTGCCACCTTCCCACAGCCACATGGGCGCTGCGCTGCCTGGCTGTCCCTTCAGAACCCCTACCTCAGCGATCTTCTGGTCATACGCCTCCATGAATGTGTCCACCTCTACCCTCAGGGCCTCAGGGTCGGGCACTGAGTCTGCATAGTCACGGATCCACTCTGAGGAAAAGGGAGCCAGGCTTCCTCAGGCCTGGCACTGGGCCCCTGCCAGGCACATTGGGACCTTTTCACACATGGCCTGGGGCACAGATGCGAAGGAAATCCCCGTGCCTGCAAGCTGGGACCTTGCCTTTGCCTGCCCAGTATGCCCGTGCCACTCGGTGCCAGGCTCTCAGGCTAACGACTCCCTGGGGGCCCAGACATAGCCCCTCGGCCCAGCCCTCCACCACTGCTCTTAGGGAGCATGGATGTGGCTTGTGACATTCAAAAACTGTCTCCATAATGTCCCGCCAACCCAGAGCCCAGGAAAGAGGCACCAGACCCATTCTCAGATACTGACTCTGAATGCCAGTCTTCACAGGGTGGCTCTCTGTGGACACCAGCAGGGGGCCCTTCAGGGCCAAGGCAGCTGACACCCCACCTGGCTTCTGGAACACCACGTACGCTACCTGGAACCCCTAGAGAGAGAGAGATGTCAGAGGGTGGGGTCTCCTTCCCACATCTGGAACAAGGTCTCCAGGCCTGCCCTCAGCCTAGCCAGTGGCTACACCAGGGGAGACAATACTAGGCTATTCCTGAGCCGTCACAGAACCAGAGGCCATCCCATAATCCAGGTCGTGGCAGCCACACTTCTCGTTATCCTGCTTCTGTGGGAAGTGACATCTGTTCCCAGCTCTTCCCCAGGAAGAGGGGACAGGCAGGCCTCCTTTCTTCCAGTTACAGGAGGAATGCAGTGAGAAGCAGGGGTTGCCCTGGGCCAGGGCAGGTTTTTGGAAGCCAGGCATGGGCTCCAGGGCCACTGGGAAAGCTGTGAACAACAGTGCTCCTGAAGACCCAGCCCCAGAACCTGGGGAAGGAGCTCCTTCAGTGGGGGAAGCAGGAGGGGACCTGGGGGAGGCCCTGCAGGCAGCCAGCAGAGATGGTCCCTGAGCTTTAACCTGGGAAAGAAAAGGCAAGGCAGGAAATGCAAGGATGTGGCAAATCTGAGACCGAATCGCAGGCTTTGTCACCCGGACCGCCTCCTAGACCACACAGTGAGGATGGGCTCAGGACCACAGAGAATGCTCTGACATCCCACTGCCAGCTCCCCCCACATACTGGGGATGATGCCCCACCCCCCTCACTCTAGGAGAACCTGTGCTTGGGGGGCTCACCGGAACTGGCTTTGGATGAAAAAACTTCGACCTTGGCTCCTTCAGGCTCTCGGCCAGGTCCGGCTTGTCCTGCAACTCCATAGACTGGACAGGGCCACAGGAGGACAGGAGGCAGGACAGGCACTCCTGCCGTGGTGAGAGGGAAGTGGAGTGTGAGCATCCACAGGGCCGTCCCCAAACCTCCCTCTACCCTGGGTGGCGCTGCCAGGGTTCCAGTGCCCCTGAAGGACTCCAAGCCACTGCCACATCTGCCCACATGGGGAACCTATGGGCACCGTGCCCTCTGACCTGTTCCCCAGGGGACAGTACAGAGGTCGATATTCCTGCTCTTTTTTTTTTTTTCTTTCTGTTTTCTTTTTACTCCTGCTCTTATTTTGAGTTGGAGTCTTGTTCTGTAGCTCAGGCTGCAGTGTGATCTCAGCTCACTGTAACCTGCCTCAGTCTCCCGAGTAGCTGGGATTACTGGTGCCCTCCACCACACCGGCCTAATTTTTGTACTTTTAGTAGATACAGGGTTTTACCCCATTGACGAGGCTGGTCTAGAACTCCAGATCTCAGGTGATCTGCCCGCCTTGGCCTCCCAAAATGCTGGGATTACAGGCATCAGCCACCCAGCCCTGGATATTCCTGCTCGCTCATGCAAGACAGGTGGGGATATTCTCACTGGTATTGATTTTGCCAACAACTAAGTTTTACCATCTGAGCCAGAAGCAGTCGGACTATGCTATGACAATCAGGATGGTGGTGGTCTGTCAATCAGGCAGGAGGGGGTTTCTGAGACGTACTGCTGTCTCCCCACCTGGCTGCCGACTACACCGGAGCATTCTGTCTCTGGGATGCAGCGAGCTGGACACCTGCAGCCAGGGACCTTCCCTGCACACATGCTGCACTTCAATAAGGGTCAGAACTAACACCTCTTGTTCTCCATGCTGCTTTTTCTCTCTAAGTTTAGAGCAATCTTTTACAAATTAGGGTTTCTTTTGGGGGAAAAAAAATTCATCTAAAATCTAGCAATTCCCTGGGCTAGGCGCAGTGGCTCACACCTGTAATCTTAAGACTTTGGGAGGCTGAGGTGGGTGGATTACTTCAGGTCAGTAGTTTGAGACCAACCTGGCCAGCATGGTGAAAACTCATCTCTACTAAAAATACAAAAATTAACCAGGCATGGTGGTGGGCGCCTGTAGTCCCAGCTGCCTGGGAGGCTGAGGCAAGAGAATCACTTGAACCCGGGAGGTGGAAGTTGCAGTGAGCTATCACTGCACTCGAGCCTGGGCAACGCAACAGAGACTCTGTCTCAAAAAAAAGGAAAGAAAATCCAGCAATTCCCTTAGTTTCGTTTCTGTGAAAAAAATTAACAATTGTGCTTGGATAGAATTAATGGCACTTTTTATTATACTTTGCTACTTTAAAATTATGGACATGTATAACCTGGAAAAAAACATGCAATTCTAACAACTTTGGGCTACTTAAGATTATACTTTTTTTTTTTTTAAAGACAGAGTGTCACTCTGTTGCCCAGGCTGGAGTGCAGTGGCACAATACTGGCTCACTACAACCTCTGCCTCCTAGGTCCAAGCAACTTTCCTGCCTCAGCCTTCTGAGTAGCTGGGATTACAGGCACATGCCACCATGCCCAAATAATTTTTGCTTTTTCTTAGTAGACAGGTTTCACCATATTGGCCAGGCTGGTCTCCAACTCCTGACCTCGTGATCCATCTGCCTTGGCCTCCCAAAGTGCTGGGATTACAGGTGTGAGCCACTGCACCTGGCCAAATTTTTTTTTTTTTTTTTTTTTTTTTTTTTGAGACGGAGTCTTAACTCTGTTGCCCAGGCTGGAGTGCAGTGGTGCAATCTTGGCTCACTGCAACCTCCAACTCCTGGGTTCAAGGGATTCTCAAGCCTCAGCCTCCGGAGTAGCCAGGTCTACAGGCGCATGCCACCATGCTGGGCTAATTTTTTGGATTTTTTAGTAGAGACAGGATTTCACCACATTGGCCAGGATGGTCTTGAACTCCTGACTTCAGGTGGTCTGCCTGGCTCAGCCTCCCAAAGTGCTGGGATTACAGGCATGAGCCATTGTGCCTGGCAGGATTATAATTTTAAAGACATCTTTAAAAAGCCAGGTTCCTGACTTGAGATCAAGGTAGCCCTCCTGACACTCTCCTCTGGAGCTCCCATTAGCTGTGTCTGTCTCACCACTAAGGACTTCGTGGAGGCCATGGGAGCCCCCACCTTGAGCCCACAGGTCCCCTCCCAGACACCAGCTCACCTCTGTACAGTATGGGGGCACATTGAGGACAAAAAGAGTCCTCTTCCGAGGCCAGGTGGACTTGGTGCCTTCTCGAACGCTGTGTGCTCTCACATACAGGTAGTGAGAAGCCTGCTGCTTTTCGGAGAACTTGATTGGAATAGCTGGAAAGGAAATTGGAGGGGAGGAATTAGCTGAGGTCAGTGAGATATTCACACAACTTCCTTATTTTCTTATACTTTCCTACTTTTAAATTATGGACATGTATAATTTGGAAGAAAACATGTAATTCAAACAACTTTGGGTAATATATTAAAAAGCTTTGGGCTACTTAAGATTATACTTTTTTTTTTTTTTTTTGAGACATACTCTCACTGCTGGAGTAAGACTACACAACAGCTGAGTCCAGCAAGACATTCACACAACTTCCTTTGTCCACATCCCTGTCTAGTCCCATCTGCTCACTGATCCATCCGTCCATTCACCGAACCCCCTACCCTACCCTTTGGCAAAGCCTGTGTGGGCTGTAAGGGTCCACCCAGGAGGGCCTCCCAAGCTGGTGTGGGCAGAAGATAAATGGGCAATGATTACAAATGGCGGCACAAAGAAGAGGGAAGCTCAAACCCTGCGGCTCTTGGAGTGAACACCAAAATCCTAACCATGGCTGCAAGCCCGGTGAGACCCTGCCTGCCATTGTGGCCTCTTCTCATACCATCTTCCCCTACCACCTTGGATTCTCCCTGTTCCCCTTGGGTAACACCAGGGCCTCACACAAGCTGGTGTCTCTATCTGGCACGTCACCTTCTTCCCTCCCCCTAACCTTCAGGTTTAGCTCAAACCTCTCTTCTCAAGGGAGCCCTAGCATCTCCCCCAGCTCCTCTAGCCAGGTGTGCCTGTGCCTTCACAGCTTCTCTAACAGTCTGTAGGCTATAATGATGGGATTCCTTGGTTACTCACTGGCACACCCATGGCTGTAATCCTCATAAAGCTGGGAACTGCTATTTTCCTCACACCTCCATCAGAGTACCATTTGGGATAGAGCTTCGGTCCCTGAACCCAGGAAGCTCAGTTGCAATAATGGAGAAGACTAACAATAAGCAAGCACACAGCAAGCTTGTATCAGTGATGAAAGAAACATTCAGGGTGATAGGGTGGCAGAGGTCGTCTTTCCACAGGCCATCAGGGATGGCCTCTTTGAGGACAGCATTAAAACTCATACTAGCCGGCACGGTGGCTGGATCACGAGGTCAAGAGATCGAGACCATCCTGGTCAACATGGTGAAACCCCATCTCTACTAAAAATACAAAAAATTAGCTGGGCATGGTGGCGCGTGCCTGTAGTCCCAGATACTCAGGAGGCTGAGGGAGGAGAATTGCCTGAACCCAGAAGGTGGCGGTTGCGGTGAGCCGAGATCGCGCCATTGCACTCCAGCCTGGGTAACGAGCGAAACTCCGTCTCAAAAAAAAAAAAAAAAACAAGACTAGAACGCCACTGTGCAACAAACTGGCACAGCACATGCAAAAATCCGGAAGAGGAAAAGCCATGTTGCCTTAAAAGAACAGAAAGAGCTTTAGGTCAGCATCAGCCAGACCACGTAGGCCACACACACAGATTTAGAAGTCTGGTTCTTGTTTTAGAAGCTACCTTATAAAGCCACTGGAGGAAATGCAGTAGGTGTGGGAGCTATCGTGGGGGTGTGAAGCATGATCTAATTTAAATGCCCTTTAAAAATATTCTGGCACCTGGGTGGAGAACAGAAAAGGGCAAGAGGAGAAGGAGGCCAAGCAAGCAGGAGGGCCCATAAGAGCCCAGGTAAGAGCACATGTGGGCTGGACTAACAGCAGAGGCGAGGAGAAGGGGATGGGCTCACCTGGACGAGCGGCTGTGGACGGAGACGGGTTTGCCCTAAGTGTGAGTGTGGGCAGGAGTGGGCTCACTCAAAAGAACCGTGGGCCAAGACGGGCTCGCTCCGGGCGAGTGGGCATAGAGGAGGGCGCCGCGTGGGCGTCACAACCTGCCAAGCCTGGGACCAAGGGACGCCGGGGCTCACACCCAACTGTACGCCCGCTCCTGGGGACCCCCGGCCGCTGCCAACCCCCAAACACCTCCCGGCGATGCCTGACAGTCCCCAGTCTCGCGTCCCCGAACCCCTCACCTGTATAGCCAGAAGGGCTAGGGATCCGGTTTTCAGAGTCCCGCGCGGCGCGCTTCCTCCTGCGCGCCACCATCTTGCCGCCCAAGAGCGCGGGGATCGCCGGGAGTTCTGGTTCTGCGCCGGCGCGAGCGCATCTCCATGGCGCCTGCACCACCCCCCTGGCTCCAGGCCCGCCTCCCGGGCCCGGCCGCCAGGGCCCAATCTTCCTCCGCTGAGTCAAATTAGCACGCGCAAAGTGGGAGCGAATGACGGCGTTGACCCCAGTCAGTCACGAGTGCGAACTCAACCTTCCACTCATGCATTCACACACTAAATAAGCAGTGTGAGAGAAATCCAGCATGGCTGCTAGGTTTTCAGTCTATAGCCAGCTTGGGAAAAGAGGCCAGCTTGGGAAAATCGAGATCAGTTCTCTGTGGGCCATGTGGAGATGCCCATTAGGCCACTCAGGGGAGATGTCAGGTGGATGGTTAGATATGAAACTAAACATCAAAGATGTCAGGCCTGGAGAAACACGCGGGACTGGCCATGGATAGTTTTGAGAGGGGCCGGGTGCAGTGGTTGATGTCTACAATCCCAGCAATTTGGGAGGCCAAGAGGGGCGGATCACGAGGTCAGGAGTTCCAGACCAGCCTGGCCAACGTGGTGAAACCCCGTCTCTAAGTACAAAAATTAGCCCAGCATGTGATTCCAGCTACTGGGGAGGTTAAGGCAAGAGAATCGCTTGAACCCTGGAGGTTGAGATTGCAGTGAGCCGAGATCGCCCCACTGCACTCCAGCCTCCCTTTCAATCAGTGGCCTCTGGGTCTGAGGCCTGGGTTAGGCCTAGAAACTGGGTGAGGGTTTGCGATTTTCCGTCAGCAGCTGCCATTAGTAACAAAGCCCACTTGAAATCAGGAGGGGAACAGGACCCCACCTTCTAAAGAGGGGAATTTCATATAATTTGCATCCCGGGTGGAGAGCAGTGGCTCACACCTGTAAACCCCAACACTTTCAGAGGCTGAAGCAGGAGGATCACTTGGGCCCAAGAGTTCAAGACCATCCTGGGCATCATAGCAAGAACCTGTCTCTATTTTTTAAATGCTAAGTTGCACCCCAAGTGCTGAAATCCCTAAAGATCAAAACCCTTGGCTGGGCATGCTGGCTCATGCCTGTAATTCCAACACTTAGGGAGGCTGAAGCAGGCAGACCACTGAGGTCGGAAGTTCAAGACCACTCTGGGCAACATAGTGAAAGCCCATTTCTACAAAAATGAGCCAGGTGTGGTGACACTTGCCTGTAGTCCCAGCTAATCAGGAGGCTGAGGTGGGAGGACTGTCTCAGTTTGGGAGGAGGAGGTTGCAGTGAGCTGAGACTGTGCTACTACACTCCAACCTGGGCAACAGATGAGACTCTGTCTCAAAAAAAGAAAAACAAAAAGGCTGGTTGCGGTGGCTCACGCTTATAATCCCAGCACTTTGGGAGGCCAAGGCAGGCAGATCACCTGAGGTTGGGAGTTCAAGTCCAGCCTGAACCTACAAGGAGAAACCCTGTCTCTACTAAAAATACAAAAAATTAGGCAGGTGTGGTGGCACATGCCCGTAATCCCAGCTACTCAGGAGGCTGAGGCAGGAGAATCACTTGAACCCAGGAGGTGGAGGTTGCGGTAAGCCGAGCCACTGAACTCCAGCCTGGTCAACAAGAGCGAAACTCCGTCTCAAAAAAGAAAAGAAAAAAGACAACTCAAAGGTAGGAATAACAAACGTTTATTCAGAAATGGATAAGTAGTACATAATCACCCTTCATCCCTTAATGCCTCTTCCTCTCTTTTTGTACAAGAAACATAGATTGGTAACACAGGGGCATGGGAAGTGGAGGTGGAGGAGGACACAGGACTGGCCCACCACCTTCTCTTCCCTGTCTCCCAAGGTGACAGCTTATACGGTGGAGGAGGCAAACAGGTCCCCTCAATGTACCAGAAGATCACCTACAGCACCAGCTCCAGATGGCTGCAGCTGGGCTCAACGAAACTGTGACAACCAGAATATATCAGCTTTGGGATTAGAGGGGGGGGTAAAGCCCCGTGGCAGGATATTTACTGTCCCAACCCTAAGCAAAGTCCAAGCAGTGAGCCCCGTTCCCAGTACCTGAAAAACCAGGTCCTACTGCCTTCTGGGTGCTCTCTTGGGCCAGAAAAGGTAAAGTGTAGGAGGAATGTCTTCCAGCTGCTAACTAGAAGTCAGTCTGCACCCACTTGAAGGGATTAAGAGAATAAAAAGCAGCATCTTTAAAGAACTGGAAGTGGAGCACCACCAGGCCCCTTCCTTGGCCTTTCCTGGCCTGGGCAAGCCTGAGGATTGAAGCTGGGTTCAAACCCTGGGTCCTTCCTGCCTGACAGACTGACCTCTGGAAACATAGTTTCTGGGTTCTTCTTCACTGGGCTAGCCTCAAGCAAGTCTCGGGCACTCTGTCTCCAGCATGCACCTTTCCCAGCACTTGCAACTGATTCTGCAGAGCTCTGAGAATCCTGCTCTCCAACTGGCTCCACTCTACCAACCTGGATTCCCTTCAGTTCCAACAAACCAGCAGGGGACCACTCAGTGACACCAGAGGCAACACCGGCCTGGTAATTCTGGGATGGCCCTTGGGCTCTATAGCTGTGTGCCCACTGCCGGCACCTACGCTGGGGAAACAGCTTGCCTCATAGAGTTGCCCTGTTCCCTTGACTCCTCCTCCTCTGCCAAGGCAGAAAAATATCCCACTGGTCATGGACGGATGGGTCACTCCCAAAAGTGGGAACGCTGGGTGGCAGCTAGATATATGCCTCTGGGCATCCCTGACCACTGGTCCTGTAGACAAGTGAAGCTAGAAATGGAGAGCCAGGAGCAAACTGACCTCTTGCATTCAAATAAGCCCCAGCCCCGCTGTGTTGCATAATGGGAGGTGGAGCCTTTGAAAGGCCCAACCAGAGGAGAGCTGGCAGCTGCACCAAAATGAGGGTGTGATACCTGCCAGGCTAGGTGAGAACCGGGAGGGCTCACAACACAACCTCCCCTCCCAGCAGTGACACCCAGAAGGAAAAAAGACCTGGGGTGGGGCATTCAGCACAACTCAAGGGCAAGGTGAACTCTGGAGAACAACCTCTGGGCAGAGGCAGTGTGGGCCTCCAAGCCAAGCACGCTCCTGGACAGAGTCTTCCCAGAGGTGCAGCTTCATCCTGCTCCTGCCACTAGTGAGGCCTGGAGCTAATGCAGAGGGGACTAGAGGCCTGAGAACTGCTCCCCACCCAGGCATCTCCACTGACCAGGCAGAAGAGTGACACAGCTCTCAGGCCGACCTGGTTCCTATCAGGATGGCAGGTTTTTCCATCCCGTGTTATTTGAAAAGCTTAACGTACACAAAGGAAAGGCAGCCCCGTGGCCCCTGGAAAAACCAGGGTCCTTCACACAGCCCCTGCCCTGCATCCTATGGGGCCACAAGAAAGCCACCCAGAGAATTTAGTGTACCATTTCCAAATAAAAAATCCACTTGGGGCTGAGGCTGGGAGAGGCACGCTCTGAGAAAAACAAGCCTACCTTGGTGATGAGATGGAGAAGAAACATACTACAGGAAACATTAACAGAGAAGAGCACAGGGCAGAACACAACACAGAAAGGCGGGTCCCATCCAGTGAGGAAGCGCTTTACCCCAGCGACCCTGCCCACGCTCAGGGGTCTCCAGTCCGATGGCCCATTGGTCACAAGCTTTGTCTTGGGGAAACAGAGCCACCCTCCTCTGCCCCCACTTCTGGCTGCCTCACTCCCCTGCTCAAAGCTTGATTTTGAATTCTGTGGGCTGCGTGGTCACAGACGCCCCTGAGGACTTGAAGAGCGCCTTCAGGATGGTGTCAGGGTCCACTTCGGCAGGGGGGTTGGAGGAGGAGGCAGAGTTCACCCTGCGGGGCAGCTCGCTCTCCTTTTTCACTGAGGGGCTGTCACTCAGCCGCCTGTGGAGAGCAGAGAACAGGCAAAAGTTCTTGTCAGTTTTTCCTTCGACCGGAAAGGGACCCACCATGTACTGGGCATCTGTCATCAGCGAGGCACTGAGTATAGCACTTTCCAGACCCCTTCATCTCATTCCATCTTGCAGCAAACTCCATCATGGCTCAGAGCAGCCTTGATCTCCTGGGCTCAAGCGGTCCTCCTGCCTCAGCCTCCTGAGGAGCTAGGACTATAGGCGTGCACCACCATGTCTGACAAATATTTTTAAATTATCTGTAGAGACCAGGTCTTGCCATGTGGCCCAGGGTGTGTTTTTTTTTATTTTCTGACGAGAAAACGGAGACACAGGCAGTGCTATGTTCTAGGGTTTTATGAGGGTTTTTTAGAGACAGTCTCACTGTCACCCAGGCTGAAGTTCAGTGGCATGATTGTGGCTCACTACAGTCTCCATCTTCCAGGCTCAAGAGATCCTCCCACCTCAGCCCCCCAAGTCACCAGGACTAGGTGCGTTCCACCACTCCTGGCTAATCGAGGTTTTACGTTTAGGAAACACTGCATGTTCCTCCTGGATGGTAACATACATTAGCATATCATTAAGATATCTCACAACCTGAGAAACCCAAAAGTGAAACAGATTTAACTCTGTTTAGCCCAGTGGTTTCCAAACTTGTTAGAATACAACTTATTCCTGGTACATAGTTTAAGGAACTCATCGCACAATTCATTACCCAGGGTTCAAATCCTAGTCTTTTTAAATCTCAAACTCTATTTCAGGCCTGCCCACACTATTCCACTCACCTTGCCAAGTCTAAGCTCTTCCCTGGTATCTGCCACCTTATCTAGAATATGACGTCCTCACAGTCTCCACATTTTATGCATCTCAGGCTTCAAAAAAGCCCTCAGTCCTGGGCCAGACAGGTATACTCAACTGTGTATAACAAAAGCCTTCAATGGCTTCCCATTGTACTTAAAGCCAAATCCAGCTGGGCGTGGCAGTGTAGTCTCAGCGCCTGTAGTCTCAGCTCCTCAGGGGGCTGAGGCGAGAGGGTTGCTTGGAGTTTGAGACCAGCCTGGGCAACACATTGAGATTCTCAAAATAACTTAAAAAAAAAAACCCATTGGGGAACAAAATGAGAGGTGGCATCTGGTGGTGTCTCCATCAGAGCCAATCATGAGGTGGAGTCTGTGTTCCCGGATAATGTACACAGGCGTGAGACCCAAGCCGCCTCCCTCCATTCTCCGCTCAGATGTTTAGAAGGCTGAGAACCAGATCATAATGCTAGCCCCTGTAGGGTCAACCACTGGGGAAATGACAAAGCAAACCATTTTAGTCAAGTTTAAGGATTTGAAACAACCAGCTGCCATTGGAACAGAGGAAACGGAATGGGGGAATGAGGGAGAGCTGTGATGCAGGCAGTTTACCATTAGAATAAAAAGAGATGGAGGGAGCTCCCTCTCCCCAGGACCCCGCCTTTGGAACTCACAGCAAGATAGGCTGGTCTGAGGTGATAACGTTCCCATTCATGTGAAGGTTGCACTTCATCGGCTGCCCTGAAAAAACAGAGAGAAAAAGGCTCTGCTATGAGACCTCTGCTCCGCACACAAGAGGACAAAGGCTGTACCTCCATCATCAATGGTCAAAGCACCCACCACTGGCGGTTCTGGCTCAACAGATGGAGACAGGGCTGCATGGTTCCAGTCAAGCCAGACACTAAGAAAATCCCAGGGCATGAGGAAACCTCAGCAATGGGGGCTCCAAGAGGCAAAGTGGCAACAAACCTTGCTTCGTACAGGAGATGAGTGGAAGTGAGGGAGAAAGGAGATCAATGAGAAGCCAACCCAGTAGTAAGGGAAAAGGGTTCTGCTATCAAGTGAAGACAACCAAAGGCATTATGCACAGGATTCTACTCTGTCTACAAAGGATGAACTGCTAGGAAGACCACACTCCCGCTGTATATAAGATGTCACATGTGTAACAGTAATAGCACAAAAAAAAGGAAGAAGGAATAAGGCCATGTAGAAGTAATATTTCCATATCTTACTTTTATCATTAAAGGAATTAAAATGTTAGGAAAAAATTATTCATGTAATGCAAAAGAAAAGCCACTAAAGAGGAACCAAAAAGTGAAATGGAAGAATAAACCTAATTATCAATGTTAAATATGAGTGGATTAAATAATCCAATCTAAAGACAGAGATTGTCAGACTGGATTAAAATAAAAATAACCAGTAAGATCTAACTATACACTATCTCTACAAGAGATACATTTTTACAGTCCATGAGAGAAAAAGATTGAAAGTAAGAGTGGACCAGGCACGGTGGCTCATGCCTGTAATAACAGCACTTTGTGAGGCTGAGGTGGCCAGATCACTTGAGGCCAGGAGTTTGAGAGCAACCTGGCCAACATGGCAGAAACCCTGTTTCTACTAAAAATACTAAAAATTAGCTGGGTGTGGTGATGCGCACCTGTAGTCTCAAGTCACTCAGGTGGCTGAGGCACAAGACTTCCTGGAACCCAGGAGGCAGAGGTTGCAGTGAGCCAAAATCACGCCACTGCATACCAGCCTGGGCAACAGAGAGAGACTCCATCTCAAAAAAGAGTGAAAAAAGATGTATCACCCAAATAGCAACCCTAAAAAAGCTGGTGTTTTACTTATTAGCTATTACTAACATAAACTGAAATAGACTTTAAAACAAACCAAAAAAATGTTACTAACAATAAAGAGGGAATTTAAAGGGTCAGTTCATCAAGAAGAAAACAATCATAAATATTTATGCAACTAACGAGCCTCAAATACATAAAATAAAAATACACAGAAGTGAGAGAAACAGACAAACAGTAATAACGATCTCACCAGGTGAGGTGGCTCACACCGTAATACCAGCATATTGGGAGGCCTAAGCGGGCAGATCACCTGAGATCAGGAGCTCTAGACCAACCTGGCCAATGTGGTGAAACTCCGTCTCTACTAAAAATACAAAAATTAGCTGGGTGTGACAGCAGGCGCCTGTAATCCCAGCTACTCAGGAGGCTGAGACAGGAGAATTGCTTCAACCCAGGAGGCAGAGTTGGCAGTGAGCAGAGGCCAAGCAACTGCAACTGGGCAACAGAGGGAAACTCCAGCTCAAAAACAAACAAGCAAACAAAAAACCCCTCAATATTTCACTTTGGATACTAGATAGAACCAGGCAGATCAACAATGAAATAGCACTTTAACACTATAAAGCAACTAGACATAATAGACATCTACAGAACACTCCACCTAACAACAACAAAATATATATTCTCCTTAAACATTCAAAGAGAAGAAAATCTGGGAAATGCATGAATAGATGGAAATTAAAACAATTCTAAATAACCAATGATTCAAAGGAGAAATCACAAGAAAATTAGAAAATAATTCAAGATGAACAAAAATGAAGGTATGATAGACCAAAACATGGAATGCAGTTAAAGCAATGCTTAGAAGATATTATATAGCTATAAATGCACATACAGTCATGTATCACTTAACCATAGGAATACATTCCAGGTTCAGTGGCAGGATCACAGCTCACTACTGCCTCAACTTCCCAGGCTCAGGTGATCCTTAGCCTCCCCAGCAGCTAGGACTACAGGCACACGCCACCATGCCCAGCTAATTTATTTTTTGTAGAGAAAGGGTCTTGCCATGTTGCACAGGCTGGTCTCCAGCTTCTAGGCTCAAGCAATCCTCCTGTCTCTGCCTCCCAATATGCTGGAGATACAGGCTTGAGCCACGACACCTGGCTGTACAGCATGTTACTCTACTGAATATAGCAGGCAACTGTATTTGCACATCTAAACACAGAAAAAGTACCATCAAAATATGGTATTATAATGTTATGGGCCCACTGTCATATATGTGGTCTGTTGTTGACCAAAAAGTCATTATACAGCATATGAATACATTAAAAAGGAGAATCCAAAACACCTACAGAATGGGAGAAAATACTGGTAAATCACTTTTCTGATAAGGGACTAACAAATATGTAAAGTACTTTTACAACTCAATAATAAAAAAGAACCTAATTAAAAAGTGGACAAAGATTCTGAATAGGTTTTTTTCTCCAAAGAAGACAGCCAGGTGCAGTGGCTCACGCCTGTAATCCTAGCACTTTGGGAGGCTGAGGTGGGTGGATCACCTGAGGTCAGGAGTTCAAGACCAGCGTGGCCAACATGGTGAAACCCCATCTCTACTAAAAATACAAAAAATTAGTTGGGCATGGTGGCGCGTGCCTGTAGTCCCAGCTACTCAGGAGGCTGAGGCAGGAGAATCACTTGAACCTAGGAGGTGGAGGTTGCAGTGAGCTGATCGTGCCATTGCACTCCAGCCTGGGCAAAAGAGTGAGACTCAAAAGAGGAAGAAGAAGAAAAATAAGTGTCTTTCCACATCCAAGCATATGACAAAAAATAAAAATCAAAAACAACAGATAATTAAAATTTAAAACTAAACCAAAAATAAAAAAATAAATGTTTTTAATGACATGCAAATGGCCAATAGGCACATGAAAAGGTGCTCTGCATCATTAGCCATGGGGAAATCAAATCAGAACTCCACTGACTCACCCAGGGGAGCTCACCCAGGTGCCAAGATTTAGCCAAGGCTCCAGGTCTTTTATTTGTAATTTTTTTACTGTTGTATTGTTTTATTAGTCTCTGCTTCTCCACTTCTAGCACAGGGCCTTGGTCCACAGTAGGCACTCAATACATACTGAAAGAACAAATGAGTGGAAAAGGAGCATGGCAGACAGAATTTTTCTCTACAGGCTGTCTAGAGATGAAAAGTAAGAACCTGGTCAATAAGGTCTGTTGTTTACCCACTAGGAGCAGCTCTCACCCAGGTGCCAACATTCAGACAAAACTCCAGGCCTTTGAGGAACCTCTGCCCTAGCAGTGAGCAGACCAACATCTGGAAGGGAAAAGCTGTGGCTCTTGACTTCCCTGGCAGGACCCCTTAAGAGAACCATCCATGGAGAAATTGTATTTTTCTTTTTCCTAGGCTCAAAAGCTTAAGGGCTGAGTGAAAACCCAGGGCCCTGTGTAACCCACAGCTCAGCACTACTCAGGGACTGCACAGCAGTTCCTGATGCAGAGGAGGCCCCAGAGATGGGTTCCACCCATCTCAGAGACTTCCCCAGGAAGGCCTGCTACCTGACAGCAAGTAGAGAGGAGTGGGAGGGTCAGGGGCTGTTTTCTCCAGAACTTACCGTCCAGACACCGGTTGTTGTACTTCTTATATGCAGTGATGGCATCGTCCTTCTTCACAAACACCACCTCTGCTACCCCAGGATGGACCAGCCGAGCTCGCTTGAGGGCTCCACACACACAGAAAAGCTCCTGCACAGAACAAGAGGGGTTGGGATTAGGGAAGAATTTCTGACAGCCTGCCACTCACGCATGCTGAAGGCCCTGGGGTGTGGTGGCTCCACTGCAGCTAAATATGCCCCTGTGCCCGAGACTGCAGAGAGGCTCCACTGTAGGTGGTGCTCCTGAGGCATCCACAGGCCTCAACACAGCACCAAATGAGGTCAGCAGTGAGAAATGGGCTTGGACTTACAAGCCCTGTATCACCTGAGACCTCCCAGGAAGCCACCACCAATCTTCAGTGCCCACCTCAACAACAGAGATACAACAGTTATGAAAATCAGAGAGCCCTGTCATGAGAATGAATGTATACAAAGAAAGACAGCTGCAATACGTCACCTAGGAATCTGTTGGAAATACAAATTCTGTAGTTCTACCCAGAGTCCTGGTTTGGCTGGATTGAAGGGTTTCCCTGGACATGGGACTTTGAGTGCTAAAACCAGGAGAGTCCCTAACAAAAGTGGGACAGTCGGTCACTCTAAGTTGGAGAGTCCTGAGTGTGATCCCCAGGCTCTGCTTCCTATCCGCTATGAAATGTCTAGCATGTTACTTAACTTCTCTGAGCCTGTTTCCTCTTCTGAAAATAAAAAGGATTAGCTCACTTCCCAGGGTTACTGGAAAGCTCAACTGAGATCATTTTTAAGGCAGTGCTTTGCACACATCATTGACTCCAATCTCCACCTCATTTTCTAGACAAGGCCAGAGAGGGAGCAGAATGTGCAGACGGAGAGAGGGTGACTAGCACTCATGCCACTTCTTCACCTCCAACTGCCTTCACAGGTTGCTGTGAGGGCAAAGAGAAGGTTTATGAAAAGGCCCTTAACATGATTTGTTTTTACTGGTAAATATCAAAACAAGATGTCCCTCTGCATCTGCAGGAGACTGGTTACAGAACTACTCGCAGATACTGAAATCTGTGGATGCTCAAGTCCCTGCCATAAAATGCTGTAGTATTTATATATAACCTGTGCACCTCATCCAGTATACATCATCTCTAGATCACTTGTAATACCCAACACAATGTAAATGCTATGTAAATAGTTGTTATACTGTAGTTCTAAAATTTGTAATATTTCTCATTATACTGTTATTTTTAAAATTTTGAGTACTTTCATTCAGTGGTTGGTTAATGAATATTTTCTTTCAGTGGTTCTGGGATGCAGAAGCCACAGATATGGAGGGCCAACTATAAATACTGGGTGTAATTCCAATGTTATTACCCTGAGCCTCTCAACACTGCCTATTTGGGTAGAAGAGAAGTGACTTCCTCGGAGCGCCGAGCATGACTGGCGTTTAGTTTTCCACCATAATGTATCTTCCAACAGTCTGCCTAAAGTGCCTGGCACATAGCAAGTGCTCAATAAATGGCAGTAGTTACTACGTTTATAAACAGCTCTAATTTTTTTTTTTTTTGACACCGAGTCTCACTCTGTTGCCCAGGCTGGAGTGCAATGGCACAATCTCAGCTCACTGAAACCTCCACCTCCCGGGTTCTAAGCGATTCTCCTTCCTCAGCCTCCTGAGTATCTGGGATTACAGGTACCCGCCACTATGCTCGGCTAATTTTTGTACTTTTAGTAGAGACAGAGTTTCGCCATGTTGGCCAGGCTGGTCTTGAACTCCTGACCTCAGGTGATCCACCCATCTTGGCCTCCCAAAGTGCTGGGGTTACAGGCATGAGCCACTGCACCCAGTAATCAGCTTTAATTCTTTATGACTTGTCAAGTATTACACAAAATAGGCTAGTTTCCATCCTCATGTGCACCATTCATAGCACTGTCCCTGCTACAGGAGGAGGACATGCCAGTGAGCCTGCTTAGTTCTAACATCCATCTCACAGCACATGTGTTTCACAATTAAGATTTAACCACTTGTAATCCCAGCACTTTGGAAGGCTGAGGCAGGCAGATCATTTGAGATCAGGAGTTCGAGACCAGGAGACCAGGAGACCAGGAGTTCGAGACCTGGCCAACATGGTGAAACCCTGTCTCCACTAAAAATACAAAAATTAGCCAGGCAGTAGTAGTGGGCGCCTGTAATCCCAGCTACTCAGGAGGCTGAGGCAAGGAGAATTGCTTAGAATCCGGGAGGCGGAGGTTGCAGTGAGCCGAGATCGTGCCATTGTACTCTAGCCTGGGCAACAGAGGAAGACTCCATCTCAAAAAAAAAAAGGCAGAGTGTGATGGCTCACGCCGACAATCCCAGCGTTTTGGGAGGCTGAGGCAGGTGGATCATGAGTTCAGGAGTTCAAAACCAGCCTGACCAACGTGGTGAAACCCTGTCTCTACTAAAAATACAAAAATTAGCTGGACCTGGTGGTGCATGCCTGTAATCCCAGCTACTTGGGAGGCTGAGGCATGAGAATCGCTTGAATACGGGAGGTGGAGGTTGCAGTGAGCCTGCACTCCAGCCTGGACAACAGAGCAAGACTCTGTCTCAAAAAAAAAAAAAAAAAAATTAACAAATGTGGTGACCAGTGTGGGTTGTTAGTCTGGGGTTCAGCTGCAGGGAGAGGCTGGATTCTCCAACTATAGTCATTTCATGATCTGACAGGTCAAAGGATGCCTGGATTTCTAAACTACTGGCTCTTTTGGGTGCCGGAGTGAAAATGATACTGAAAAGAAGTCCTAGCTGCATCTAGAACCCCACTCGCAGGCACTTGACAGGTTTTGCCCATGACTGCCATGCAGTGGGACAGGATGGACCAGGAAGGCAGGGACCACCAATCCATCTCCCTTCTTTCACTCCGGAATCATCACATAAAATCTCCAAAGGACACAGAAAGTTCCAAAGACTCATAAGAAAATACAACTACTGGACATTGCCAGTATGGGACGAAAGGATCCTATTTAGGACCCATTACAGCACAGATATCCCCTAATTTCTAAGACTCAGGCCAGGCACTTGGCCTTGGTTTAGAGCCGTGCAGAACAGTGAAGCAGCTGGCCTGACTGCTGTTGTTTGAAAGGCCCGATTCCAGGGGTGGCCCTTGGCTGGCATCTGGAAACGCAGATCTCAGGAGGGCTCCTGCCATCCCACAGTTCACGGTGCCTGACCTGTGCAAACAACATGGTTTCTGCTCCAACACCTGCTTTCCTTCTGGGTGTCTGGAATTTTGGTACATGCTACACAGAGAATGCCGAAGTGACCAGTCCCCAGTAAAACCCCTGGGTACCCTAATGAGCCTCCCTGGTGTCCCATGTATTGTCACAACACTGCAAGCTGCACCCAGCATCCTGTGCAACTCTACTGGGAGGGGCCTGTGGAGGCTTGCACCTGGTCTCCCCAGACTTCACCCCATGAGTCATTTGCTCTGCATCCTTTGCTGCTGTTAGTCTCAGCCCTGAGTGTGACTATATGCTGAGTTTGGTGAGTCCCAGCAGTCATCAAACCTGAGAGGGGGGTCTTAAGAAACCTTTGCCACAGAGGTTGATTGAGATTTAAATTTCTGGTAGGTCATAGTACTTACAACAATGTCCTCCTCAGTGACTCGAGGGTGCAGATTATTCACAGTCATCTTGGTGCCTTCCAATGGGCTGAGGACAGGCTGTCACAGAGACAAGAGCATTACCATGAGCACTCCCACAACAGAAATTCCTCCAGGCACGTAACCAGGAAGGCCCAGAGGAAAGCTCCATGGAGTTACCACAACTGGGCCCCCCGAAATTCAGTGTCCACTATGGCCCCACCACTCTATGCTAAAAGCATGGACCCTCTCCCATCTCCCAAATACGCAAGCCTCTCAGGCCCTGAGCCTCTGCCTAGAAGGATCTACCTAATGGCTCATGCTTCTAGACCCACTCAGCTAAGAGAGTCCTTTTTCCCAGACTTCTCAACTGGAATGAGATGCTCTGTCCTCAGCACTCCTAACAACTTTCTTCTAGGAGAGCCTCTACCATATCACCAGATACCACAATCTTTCAGCAGGTCTGCTATCTCCACTAGCCTGAAAGCTTTGAGGGCAAGAGTCCCTAGGTCTTGGTTTGCTCATCTATAGAATGGGGGTGGCAATGCCCACCTCACAAAGGTGTTATGGGGATGCAATGAGATACACAGAGCATACAGCCCTCCTGACCCCTAACTGCTGTGGTCACCACCGTCATCTCACCTCAGCAGGTGGCAGCTCTTTGGGGGGTTCTTCCTTGTTCACCAGTGTCCGGGACATGTTGGTCAAGGCTTTTGTTCGAATAGAGGAGGGGAGAGCAGGAGCTGTGTATGCATCATTCTGAACCACTTTGGTAAGAGGGAGGGCCTTGGACATGGAAAGCTTGGAACTGCTTAGCCCAGCCTAAACAGAGACAGAAAGAAACCTGAGAAGCCAGACTTGGAATGTTCTGAAGAAGCCCCAAGGAGTTGACAGCTTGCTGAGAGCATGAACCTTTGATGCCTCCCAGCCATCAGAGGGAAGGGACAGGACGAGAGAAAAGCACCCAGTCTGAGCACACACTAACAGAAGCCACTCTCTACAGAGCTGGACCCTCCTGGCAGGAAGCTTCCAGACACCAGTGGCCTGGAAACTTACCTAGGAGCCACAGGCTCATCCATACCACTTAAGACTTTCTAAAAAACCCACAATTTAGGCCGGGTGCGGTGGCTCACGCCTATAATCCCAGCACTTTGGGAGGCCAAGGTGGGTGTATCACAAGGTCAAGAGATCGAGACCATCCTGGTCAACATGGTGAAACTCCATCTCTACTAAAAATACAAAAATTTAGCTGGGCATGGTGGCGTGTGCCTGTAATCCCAGCTACTGGGGAGGCTGAGGCAGGAGAATTGCCTGAATCCAGAAGGCGGAGGTTGCGGTGAGCCGAGATGGCGCCATTGCACTCCAGCCTGGGTAACAAGAGTGAAACTCCGTCTCAAAAAAAAAAAAAAAAAAAAAAAAAAAAAATACAAAAATTGGCCGGACGCGGTGGCTCACACCTGTAATCCCAGCACTTTGGGAGGCTGAGGTGGGTGGATCACAAGGTCAAGAGATCGAGACCATCCTGGTCAACATGCTGAAACCCCATCTCTACTAAAAATACAAAAAATTAGCTGGGCATGGTGGGGCGTGCCTGTAATCCCAACTACTCAGAAGGCTGAGGCAGGAGAATTGCCTGAACCCAGGAGGCGGAGGTTGCGGTGAGCCGAGATTGCGCCATTGTACTCCAGCCTGGGTAACAAGAGCGAAACTCAGTCTCAAAAAAAAAAAAAAAAAAAAAAAGGAAAAAAAATTACAAAAATTAGCTGGGCGTGGTGGTGCGCGCCTGTAGTCCCAGCTATTCGGGAGGCTGAGGCAGGAGAATTGCTTGAACCCAGGAGTCGGAGGTTGCGGTGCACTCCAGCCTGGGTAACAAGAGCGAAACTAGTCTCAAAAAAAAAAAAAAAAAACCCACAGTTTGAGGCTGGTCAAAAGGCGAAAAGCTCGGCCAGGCACAGTGATCACACCTGTCATCCCAGCACTCTGGGAGGCTGAGGTGAGAGAACTGCTGAGCCCAGGAGTTCCAGACGGACCTGAGCAACACAGTGAGACCTCATCTCTACAAAAAATGTAAAAGACCCACTCTGCCTATGGAGCAGCCATTCTTTTATTCCTTTGTTTTAATAAACCTGCTTTTGCTTAAAAAAAAATTGAAATGCCAGAAGTTTGAGGTAAATTCATTCCTAGATATGATTCTATCACAATGTACTGATCACCACTCTTAAGAGTGACCAGAACTCAGCTTTTTGGTTCCTCTTCTGACCATCCAGTGGTACCACACACAGCCTTGGCCTCATCAGCTCCCAGACTGTCAGGGACATGCTGGCAGTCAGCAGTGCAGATAACCAAAAACAGACCTTCCCATCTAGATGTGGTCCTTTGGAAACAAACTCCCCTGTATTCATGTGTCTGAGGAAGACAGTGCATAAAGCAGAAGTGACAGGGGGCCCTGCTGACTTAGGGCAGTGTTAATAGGCACTGACCCAGGGAGATGGGAGGAATGCAGCAAGAGAGGCAGATCAGAGCATGGGCAGGGGCAATTCACCACGCTTCTCCAAGTCTGAGTGATCCCATGCTGGGTTCCACATTCCTCACAGCTTTCTGAGTCTCCAGAACCAGGACTGCACAGTGATTACACACGGTGCCCCAAGACCCAGACTGCTCAGGCTCCATTTCAGACCCATGGCTTCTCCTCAGCTCAGTGATGTCGAGCAGGCTGATTTCACCTCTCCATGCCTGCTTCCTCATCCACAGAGGGTAATCAACAGTACCCATCTCACTGGGTACAATATGTGTTAGTATAAATATGACATTTATTTAATTAGGGTATCAAGTAGGGATAGAGACTCACTGAGCAAGCTGACAGTTCCCTTGGTAGCAGGCTTTGAGCAGTCTAATTATTGGAAAGGCCTGGTCCCATTGTAAAGAAACAACTGGCATCATTCAGCTTCACAATGTATCTTTTTTTTTTTTTTTAAGACAGAGTCTCGCCCTGTTACTCAGACTGGAGTGCAGTGGCACAATCTTGGCTCACTGCAACCTCTACCTCCGGATTCAAGAGATTCTCCTGCCTCAGCCTCCCGAGCAGCTGGGATTACAGGCACCCACCACCACACCTGGCTAATTTTATTTATTTTTAGTAGAGACGGGATTTCACCATGTTGGCCAAGCTGGTCTCAAACTCCTGACCTCAGGTAAGCTGCCCACCTAGGCCTCCCAAAGTGCTGGGATTACAGCTGTGAACCACTGCACTCCGCCAACTTCACATTTCTCTTAATTAGTAACCAGGAGACCGGTTCACATACTCAGAATAGTAACCAAAACTGAGTTTTTGAGCTTCTGAAGGCAACATTAAAGAGGTGCCTGACACAAGGACCTACCTGGCAGCCCACTGGCCTCCCTGCCTGACACTTGGCTATACCACAGGGCTGAGCAGCACGGACCTCCCCGATGCTCCCATATGCTGTTTTCTTTCCTTCTCTGGATGTCTGGCCAGCACTCTAGTCTAACAAGCTTTCCCTGCATGCAGGCTGCATCTGGTAGAATCCACAGATCGGGTGACATGTATTCCTGCTAACGCCAACTAAGGGAATCCAGATTCCAAGAGCAGCGCCACACCTGCTGACCACAGAGAGTCACCGAGCATGCAGAATGGCCAGCCACCAAGGAAAGAACAGACCCCCACTGTGGGGTCACTCACATTTCCCTATACTGTGTCAAACACAGCAACTGGGAGCTGTGGCCCTGTACTCTACTTGCTGTGACACCTTAAATCAGTAGGCAACCCAGTCTCAGCATTTATAAAACTAAGGGGTCAGACTAGTTCCAGCTCTGAAAATCTTACGGTCCAAACAAAGAAATATTTCTGCACTGAAAGGCTCTCTTTACCACAACCTCTCCCACCTGCCTGATCAAACACACTGTAAGAAAAAGGTGAAATGCCATACCGTGTGGTGGAGAAAGCCACCTGAGGCTGCAAACTTCATCTGTTTAGTAGGAACAGAAGCTATACCATCATCTTCTTCATCCAGATCATATAAATTCTGAGAATATAAAGAAATATAAGTAAATATGCCTGTGGGCCCTCAAAAGACATCTAGAACAGGCATGGCAAGGAGATGGCTGCTGGAGAAAGGGACCAAAGAAGTGGGCACAGGCATGATGGTGCCTGGGGAGACTGGGGCCCAAGTCCTGACAGGCTGACTCCCTGCCCATAAGTTGCAGTGGAAGTCCTACAACTTACAGGCACACCAGAAGTCCCTTTTTCCCAGTGGGCAGTATCAATCCACAGTCCCTAAAATGTTTACTCATATCCTTTTGCTTGGAAAGTCCATCCTTGTTAATACGGCCTACAGAAATAAACCCAAACCCTAGAAAGAGCTTTATCTACAAAGATGTTCATAGCAGAAGGATTTCTTTTTTTTTTTTTTTTTTGAGACGGAGTTTCACTCTTGTTACCCAGGCTGGAGTGCAATGGCGCGATCTCAGCTCACTGCAACCTCCGCCTCCTGGGTTCAGGCAATTCTTCTGCCTCAGCCTCCTGAGTAGCTGGGATTACAGGCACGTGCCACCATGCCCAGCTAATTTTTTGTATTTTTAGTAGAGACGGGGTTTCACCATGTTGACCAGGGTGGTCTCGATCTCTTGACCTCGTGATCTACCTGCCTCAGCCTCCCAAAGTGCTGGGATTACAGGCATGAGCCACTGCGTCCGGCCCTTTTTTTTTTTTTTTTTTTGAGACAGAGTTTCATTCTTGTTGCCCAGGCTGGAGTGCAATGACACGATCTTGGCTCACCACAACCTCTGCCTCCCAGGTTCAGGCGATTCTCCTGCCTCAGCCTCCCAAATAGCTGGGATTACAGGCATGTACCACCACGCCCGGCTAATTTTATATTTTTAGTAGAGGCATGGTTTCTCTATTTTGATCAGGCTGGTCTCAAACTCCTGACCTCAGGGGATCCACCCACATCAACCTCCCAAAGTGCTGGGATTACAGGCCTGAGCTACTGCGCCCAGCTAGCAGAAATATTTTTAGCAGGGAAAATGGTTTCAATAAAACTGGAATGCCAACTCAATGGATTCTGCAGTTACTAAAAACGTTTACAGTAAATGTGAAATGTCAAAGAAAAATTTTTGAGTTACAAAGTAAAAACGAATTATACAAAATTGGATCAGAATGTAACCACAACCACAAATCTGCGTTAAGTAAAATAATGTGAGGCATGGTGGTTCACGCCTGTGCCTATAACCCCAGCACTTTGGCAGGCCCAGGAGGGAGGATCAATTGAGCTCCGGAGTTCGAAACCAGACTGGCCAACATGGTAAGACTCCATCTCTATAAAAGTTAGCCAGATGTGGTTGTATGCACCTGTGAACCCAACTACTCAGGAGGCTAAGGTGGGAGGATCATTTGAGCACAGGAAGTCAAGGCTGCAGTGAGCCATGACTGCAATCACTGCACTCCAGCCTGGAGGACAGAATGACTGTAGAGGATCAGTCTGAGACCCTGTCTCAGAAGTAATTAAAATAAATAATGACGTGTAAGGAACTACGGCAAAATTTCAACAGTGATTGGCTTTGGAAAATAGGAACTTGAGGGACTTTTTGGCAAGTTTTCTGTATTAAGCACATAGAACTTTTTTTTCTTTTTGAGACAGAGTCTTGCTCTGTTTCCCAGGATCGAGTGCAGTGGAGCAATCTCGGCTCACTGCAACCTCCACCTCCTGGGATTAAGCAATTTTCCTGCCTCAGCCTCCCAAGCAGCTGGGATTACAGGCACCTGCCACCATGAGCAGCTAATTTTTGTATTTTTAGTAGAGATAGGGTTTCACCATGTTGGCCAGGCTGCTCCCGAACTCCTGACCTCAGGTGATCCGCCCACCTCGACCTCCCAAAGTGCTGGGATTACAAGTATGAGCCAGTGTGCCCGGCCCTTTAGAACTTTTATGGAAAAAACAAAAAAAAACTTTATTAGCCTCTCTGCCCTCTATGGATCCCTTCTTCTATTAAGAAGTTTCTTCTTTAAACTCAAACTGCAAAAAGTTCGGCCTGCCTCCAATATTACAAACTGTGAACCCTGGAGCAAGCCTCAGTCGATCCACCCAAGCAGGCCTCATCAAAACACGTGCACACATACATGTTCTTTATGTACACACACACACATATACTCACTCTACCTGTTTGGCCTGGTGGTTATTGACAACATTGATTCTCATTCCAGCAGGATGGGGATGAAGTGGTGCCATGGCTTTCTGCTGTGGAACCTGGAAACACTCAGTGGTCAGAATTCATCCCACAGGGTCCACGTGCATTCTCTTTAAGGAGGTGGTTACTGAACTTGACACATGGTGGGCATGCAGCTCTGGTCTTTGGTAAAAGGCACTACAGAATGCTTTATCCCTCATAGTAGGTAATAACAGAAGAATCATCATCCCAGTGATCACACTGCTAACGCACATGTAGGACTTAACGGACTTGGCTCAATCAATGTTTGCTGCGGCCGCTGCTGTTCCTATTACTAAAGCTGCTATGAAGACTAAATGACATTGTTTCTTTTCCCTCTGTGGTGGCAGCTATGGAGGGTGACCAGGGCCCTGGACCAGGGGCCAAATCCCACTGGGCTCCTACCCTGGCCCTGCCACTGCCTGGTATATGATGCTGGGGGCACAGTATTTCACATTTCTGAGACTCAGGTTCTTCTTTTTTAAAACGAGGGTCACAATTCTAGGGGTGGGGTGAGGACCGTACAATCAATAAGTGTTTTGTCCTTTCCCTCTCTTTCTTCCACCATATCTCACCTGGGAAAGTCACTAAATTTCTATGGCCCTCCCCTTTCTTTTCTACAAAACTGAGATAATACCTTTCCTTCCTCATATGGTTACCTGGCTATGACGTACTTAAAGCCTCTGTAAGAAGCAAAGTGCTATACCAACACTTGAGGGGACTGTATTTTTGCCCAATTACGCCCAGCTCCTTGCCTCTAAATCTACCTTTGTTACTAGCTTTCTAGGAATTCATAACAAAAGCCACAACATACCTGAATGGTTTTGGTGAGCTTCAGGGCAGGAGTCACTGTCCCAACAGGTGGGTTCATGAAGGCAGCAGGGGAACTCCTCTTCAAGCTGATCTTCTCCCGGGCATCAGCGACCTGACGCGGCTTCTGGGGCACCGTGGTCTGCTGCTTGCGAGAGTTCAACATCTCTCTGGCATCCTGTACTTTCCCTTTGATCCGAAACCGGGCATCTTTCTGCAAAAGCTTCTCCCGAGCATCCTTGACTCCTAGTTTCAGCCGGGCATCTGAGAGGCCAATCTTCTGCCGGGCATCAAATCTTTGCTGGAAGGTGGCTGTGCGTGCTGACTGGCTGAGAAGGCCTTGCTGAATCCCAACTCGAGATCGGACACCTCCAACTCCCGGTCTGGCATTAAGCCTGCAAATATAAATCGCAATCAATATTAAATGGATCTGGATAGCACAGCAGTCTATGAAAGTAGAACTGTGGTAACACCGGGGACAGAGGAGGTCCTGGAGAATCAGAAAGCAACTCCCTGCCCGTGCCTGAGTAAACAACGATGCCTACATGAAGACTCCTTTCCTGGTTTCATGATGGCTTTCAATTTTTTTTTTGTTTGTTTTGAGATGGAGTTTCACTCGTTACCCAGGCTGGAGTGCAATGGCACGATCTCAGCTCACCAAAACCTCCGCCTCCTGGGTTCGGGCAATTCTCTTGCCTCAGCCTCCTGAGTAGCTGGGATTACAGGCACGCACCACCATGCCCAGCTAATTTTTTGTGTTTTTAGTAGAGACGGGGTTTCACCATGTTGACCAGGATGGTCTCGATCTCTTGACCTTGTGATCCACCCGCCTCGGCCTCTCAAAGTGCTGGGATTACAGGCGTGAGCCACCGCACCCGGCCAATGGCTTTTAATTTTGCAATTTAAGCAAAATTAAGAGAGAGAATCTGGCAAGTTTTATCACTAAGTAAGACTGTTTTGCTCCCTAGACCATGTATCTTGAGACACCAACATGGACAACAACCTCCTAACGATGCCAGTCAAATAAAATAAACATCCCCCAAATAGAATCCCACCCATCTGAACAGCAACTTTAGTTCCCAAGGCCCTTCCCCAACCATGTTCTCACTCAGCCCTCTGCACCCTGAGAAGTACTTACTATGTCCACTTTACAGTAGGAGAAGCAGGCTTGGAGATGCCCAATGATTAACAAAGATTATCTCTAAGGAAGGCAGACACCATGTCCTGGGCTAGGACCAAGAGAGAAAACATGTGGGTCTGGCATAGGGCTAGAGGAAAACAGACGACATAAAGACGTGTAGAAAAGAAAACTAAAGCTGCTCTGCAATAGCAAAAATATCAAATACAGAAAGCACTGAACTTGAAAATGACCGGGTACACGGTTCACTCACTATTTGGGTAATGGGTGCACCAGAAGCCTAATCCTCCCCAGTACGCAATATAATCCATGGAACAAACATGCACATGTACGCCTGGAATTGAAAATAAAACATGTGTTTTTAACTGGAAACGAAAGAAACTCCATTAAACAGGGCTGGTCTCTTTCTCAGGTTCCTCTGTTGGTCCGCAGTAGCTTGAAAGTGAACAGAAGGCCCTCCTGAGTGCAGCACTGGAGATCCTCCCCGAGATCTCTGGGCTGCTTCTGTCTCCTCCCACCCCCAGGCCTACTGTAGCTGCCATTAACAGCTACTCCTGTGGCAGATGGGGGACTCCTATGTCAAGGTGTCCTCTCTGGGAACCCTCCCTGATTCCTCCAAGCCAACTCTCCCCTGTGCCTATTATTACACCTGCTTGTTTCCTTTTTTTTCTCCCCACCCTGGATGGGGCTGGGAGAGAAGAATGGGGGCTCAGTCCTTTTTCAGGGCCCAGTACCTCCTAAGCAGCATCGAGCCCTGGCTGAGTGTCAGAAACTCCTGTGGAGCTTCTTAAATACACAGCTGTCCAGATCCCACCCTAGATACTAAATCCAAAATCTGCGGGGAAGCCTGGGAATTTGCATTTTTAGCTCCGAGGGTGATTCTGGAGAAGAGCCATGTTGACCTCATGTTAGAGGGTAAACTCTGTTGCATAAACAAGTTCCTACGTTGCCTCCCACCTCACTGCCCGGACCTCCCAGGGGGCATCTCTCGTACTGGGCAAGTCACTGGTACTCTCCCACTGCTGCATTCTTCAAGTGGCTAGAGTGAGACTGGCTGTCAGCTCCTCTGCTAATAAATAGCAGACGTGCAGCCAAAAGTGAGTCTACCTGGTACCAATAAAAGCAAACCCAGACCTTCATTTTGTTATCCCTCAAATAATGAAAAAACACCTGCTGCCTCCAATATGCCAGAGACAGACCTAACGCAGCAATACCGACTGAACATCAGTGTCCCCGCAAAATTCCTCTGTTAAAACCTAATCTGCAACGTGATGGTAGTAGGAGGTGGGGGCCTTCAGTAAGCGATGAAGTCATGAGGGCAGAGACTGCATGAATGGCTTTAGTGTCCTTTATAAGGAAGAAGCCCCAGAAAGCTCCCTGACCCCTTCCGCCATGTGAGGACGCAGCAGAAAGACTATCCAGAACCAGGAAGCAGGCAGGTCCTCATCAGGCATGGAATCTGCCAGCACCCTGACCCTGGACTTCCAGAACTCTCTGTGAGAAGGAAGTTTCTGTTTTTTATAAGCTACCCACGCTTACGGTATTTTCTTATAGCAGCCTAAACAGATTAAAACAGGCAGTGGGCCGGGTGCAGTGGCTCATGCCTGTAATCCCTTTGGGAGGCCGAGGCGGGTGGATCACAAGGTCAAGAGATCGAGACCATCCTGGTCAACATGGTGAAACCCCGTCTCTACTAAAAATACAAAAATTAGCTGGGCATGGTGGCGCATGCCTATAGTCCCAGCTATTCGGGAGGCTGAGGCAGGAGAATTGCTTGAACTCAGGAGGCAGAGGTTGAGGTGAGCCAAGATCACGCCATTGAACTCCAGCCTGGGTAACAAGAGCAAAACTCCATCTCAAAAAAAAAAAAAACAGGCAGTGATGCATGCTATCATTTTTCTCTTTGGAAAATGGCAAACTAAGATTTAAATACTTTCCAGTGGGTTCTGAGTGGAAGGGTCATTTATAAAATTAACCAGACAAGGCTTAAGGTTTACTTGCCATCCCTGCCTTAATTTTAATGTGAGGACTGTGGGAGATGGAGGCACTAGAGAAAGCAGGGCCAAAGGAAGGGAGTCTTCAGGGGCTGGCACACACGATTAGAGAGAAAGAAATATTTGCATGTGGTAGACGGCATTCACACTCCCTTGGACTGGGCTACCCTAGGCTTCATGTTCCATGGCTTTGCAGGCCATGGACAACTGGGGCTATGCGTTCAAGTGACCTCAGAAACCTGCAGCTAGGCCGGGCATGGTGGCTCACTCCTGTAATCCCAGCACTTTGGGAGGGCAAGGCAGGTGAATCATCACTCGAGGTCAGGAGTTCAAAACCAGCCTAACACAGCAAAACCTGTCTCTATAAAAACAAAAAAAATTAGCCAGATGTGGTGGCATGAGCCTATTATCCCAGCTACTCGGAAGGCTGAGGCAGGAGAATCACTTGAACCCAGGAGATGGAGGTTGCAGTGAGCCAGGATCACACCACTGCACTCTAGCCTGGGAGAAAGGGCAAGACTGTTTCGAAAAAACAAAAATAAAGAACATGATGAATGAAAATTTTTGAGTGTTGCTCATTTAGGCTGACTATTTTGGCACACTTTTTTTTTTTTTTTTTTTTTTTTTTAAGAGACAAGGCTACCAGGTGCTGTGGCTCACACCTGTAATCCCAGCACTTTGGGAGGCCGAAGCAGGTGGATCATCTGAGGTCAGGAGTTTAAGACCATCCTAGCCAACATGGTGAAGCCCCGTCTCTACTAAAAATACAAAACCAGTCATGTGTGGTGGTGGGCATCCGTAATCCCAGCTACTCAGGAGACTGAGGCAGGAGAACCCAGGAGGCATGCTTGAACCCAGGAGGTGAAGGCTGCAATGAGCCGAGACTGTGCCACTGTATTCCAGCCTGGGCAACAGAGTGAGACTCTGTCTCAAAAAAAAAAAAAAAGAGAGACAAGGCTGGACACAATGGCTCATGAATGTAATCTCAGCACTTTGGGAGGCCAAGATAGGAGGATGCCTTGAGCCCAGGAGATCAACAGCACAGGCAACACAGCAAGACTCCTGGGATGTGGTGGCTCACATCTGTAATCTCAGCACTTTAGAGGGCTGAGGCAGGAGGATGGTTTGAGCCCAGGAGTTCAGGACCAGCCTGGGCAACACAGTGAGATGCTGTCTCTATCATAATAGAAGTAGAAAATTATCTGGGCATGAGTCTGTAGTCTCAGCTACTCCAGAGGCTGAAACAGGAAGGTCTCCTGAGCCCCAGAGAACAATGTGAGCCAGGGTCCTGATACTATCCCCCAGGCTGGGCAACAGAGCAAGACCCTGTCCAGAAATATATTAAAAAAATAAAAAAATAATCTCATTCTGTTGCCCAGGCTGGAGTGCAGTGGTACAATCATAGCTCACTACAGCTTTGACTTCCTGGGCTCAGGTCATTCTCCTGCCTCAGTCTTCTAAGTTTTGAGCCAACATGCCCAGCTTTAGACTTCTTTTAAATGTTACAACCCCATGAATTAGGTTATTATTCACATTTTATAAAAGAGGACGCTCAGAACCAAGGAGATTACCCCAAGAGCTACTAAGGGTAAGGAATGAACGTGAACTTCACTGTATCTGGTGAAAGCATCTACTAAATAAGCAAGGGTCAAAAATAAAGACCAGAACTGCAAGAGTTAAGAAAAAACTTTTTTTTTGAGATGGAGTTTCATTCTTGTTGCCCAGGCTGGAGGGCAATGGCACGATCTCAGCTCACCATAACCTCCACCTCCTGGGTTCAAGTGATTCTCGTGCCTCAGCCTCCTGAGTAGTTGGGATTACAGACATGCGCCACCACGCCAGCTAACTTTTTGTATTTTTAGTAGAGACAGGGTTTCTCCATGTTGGTCAGGCTGGTCTCAAACTCCCGACCTCAGGTGATCTGTCCGGCTCAACCTCCCAAAGTGCTGGGATTACAGGTGTCAGCCACCGTGCCCAGCCCTGAAAAAACTTAAAAAAATAAAAAAGGCCAGGAGCAGTAGCTCACGCCTGTAATACAGATACTCTGGGAGGTTCTGAGGCAGGCGGATTGCTTGAGCCCAGGTGTTCAAGCAATGGGCATGAGACCAGAAGACGACCCTATCTCAAAAACAAAAAGAAAATCAAAGAAATTCGAAACAAAACCAAAAACCACCACCAAAACAAAAAGAAACAATCTTCCTTATTATTAGTGTCTGGTATTTTAGTTTCAATATGTTGTTAACCCTTAAAAATTTATTTAATA